CTGGTTTCTTGCCGAAATTATATTGTCTGATGGCAATTTCTTTAAAATGATAGACAATCATGCGAGCACTGTAAGTAGCAATGGTCGAAAAGACAAAATAAATAATGCTAATTGCCCACTTATTATTTTTGGTGCTAAAGATGTTGTTTGGGTTGTATGATTTCAAAGTTGGGCAATTCTGCTAACGCGAGCTGGTTGTGGCCGCTTCGTGCTGCGTATAAAACGCTCACGGTGGAGATTTTTCTTCTTCCAAAAAAAAAGGTGAAGTACTTGAAGAATCCTGTGTTTTTAACAGATAGGGAGCGAGGTACTTACGCGAACACAGTCGAATCGTTTTCTTTTGTCCTGCGATCACTGCACACACACCACCCCATGTTCCGCACCCCCTACCGATGCAAACAGAGCACTGCCTGGGCGTGGGGGGGAAAATGCCTCGTCGACAAATGCCGCACAACCCGAAATTGCTCACGCTTGTGTTCGCCATACGCATTCAGCAGTACAATCTTAATAAGAGCCAATGACCTTTCGCGTATTGTGACACATGTGTCATCATCGTCTTTGCGAATGAATGAGCCGCCATACGGTTTTTATCATGAACGAAATATAAACAAGCAAACAGCCAATCATATCACGGGTATCAAATGACGTTTCTATTGCGTCATTTATCAGAGGGCGATTTTGAAATAGGGGAATTATAAGGATTTTGACACTTTGCGGTCGTATAACTCTGGAACTAAATCGTTTTGGTTCTTAAAAATAACATGACCGCTAGACTGCATCAAAAGGTCGTCAAGATGGCTATTTCAGTTCAAAACGTCATACAAATATGGAACATTCCCTGCTCGGAACGTGCTCGGAGAAACGTGCTCGGGGAAACACTTGCACCGAATTTACAGAACAGCAATTTCTACTGGATTAATATGATATTGATATATCCTGGACTACAGGCCCCGGGGTGTATCGTCTTGCGGATAGTGCGGATGATGGAATATGGTCTCGGGCTGTAGTGGTTTGTATTAGGCATGGATTTGGCTCAAATTTCTTGAGTTAGCCAGGCGATGGCTCACAGAATTCAAGATCTGATTTAGCTGATGACTTATTCCTGTTCTATTTTTCATGGTACTTCATTCAAATGCAATGCTTGCGTTGAATCATCTGACTCTTATCTCATGTAGGTTGTTAAGTAAATAGTTCTCAGCTGAGATTTGGGAGACTCCAGGGTCAACACTATGGTGTTTGCTGCTTAGGAAGAACAACAAACTTGTCGCAAAAAGCATTGTGATTAATGCTGCATGGTGTTCACTTCAACTCTCTGAAATTGTATGTTAGTTTACCTAGAATGCAAAGCATATCCTCATAGTGTCAATTAAGTTCAGGTATATGACTCACTGACGCAACACTGCTAGAAATGATTGGCTGACGATTCAGTTCATGAAATGTGTGACAAATACGATTCAGGTCATGACTCAAAGCAGCATTTTTCCTAGTGAACAAATGCAGCTTATAGCTTAATCCCAAAACACACAATTCACCTAGCATCAAACAAGCATCTGGTTAGCATGTGCACATGTGTGTGTAAAAATGTTGCATTTAAGTAGATGGCTACCTCGTGGTGATCATATCGGGCAAACAGGCATTATTTTTGCATATTGATTGTGTTGGAAAGCTTATGCACATCTTGGCTGAATGACCTGTGTTCAACTCAAGTGGAATCGTGAATCCGTTCATGAGCCAATCGTTTTGAGATGAGTTATGTGCTGCGTCCGCTCACCAGGAAAAATGTTGTTTCGCCTCATGACCTGACTCCCATTTGTCATACATTCCATGAGCTGAATCATAAGGTAATGATTTCTTACCATGTTGCATCAGTGAGTCATAGGGCTGAAAATAAATTGGCAGCATGAGGAAAAATGGTGTGCCCCAGGCAGACTCATATGTCATGTCAGTGTCAAAATTAACACCATGCAACATAATTCATAAGATTTTTTGCAACATCAGCAGAGAATTCTTACAGGAGTTTCTAAACAGGAAAACCAATGTTATTCATCTAGAAGTTTGCTGAAAATCAACCATGAACCAGAGGATATAAATATACATATATCCTCTGGTTCATGGTTTATATTCAGCAAATTTCTGGATGAATAACAATGGTTTTCCTGTTGAGAAATTCCAGTAAGAATTATGTGCTGATGTTGCAAAAATTGTATGACTAATGCTGTAAGGTATTAATTTTGACACCGACGTGACATGTGAGTCTGCCTAGGGCACACTGTATTTCCTCATGCTGCCAACTTATATTCAGCCCTATGACTCACTAATGCAGCATTGTTAGAAATAATTACCTTATGATTCACCTTATCAAATGTATGACAAATGGGAGGCAGGTCATGAGGCAAAACAACATTTTTCCTGGTGAGCAGATGCACTCATAACTCACCCCAAAACGATTGACTCATGAACGGATTCACAATTCAGCTTGAGTTTAATACAGGTCTGGCTGGCGTGTGTATATGTGTGAAAATACTGAATTTTAGTAGATGGTTACCTGGTTATGGGTAAACTGGCGTTAGTTTGGCAGGTTAGCTGTGTTGTTAAAATGTTGTGTTATCTCATGCCCGACATGGCAACAAGACTTGAGTTCATTCATAAGTTGAAGTCCTGGATGTGAACTTGTCTCTTTTCGGACGTGCATGCTAGCAATATATATATATATTGGTACATACACCCAGCAAAATGTCTTCTATACAAGTGTTGGTAAAGACCTTGGCGTCTGTGCATTTAGTAAGTTTTTTTTCTGCACTTGCGCTAGATTTCTTATTACAGTTATATGTACATCATTGAGACTAAAAAGTAACTCACCAATTTTTGGCACCTATTGGTTGGCCGGATGTTTCGGACTTACATATTCCATGTACAAGGGTACACACATACAACATACAAGTGACGAATATGTGATCACACGTTACAGTTAGGTATAACCAGTGAGGCAAAACGAGTAGGTACAAACAAGATTAGTTCGGTCGTCAAAATACAGTGTCTAAATAAGGTGGTTGACATTTTAAGGAGCATACTAATTTAAGCGGCAAAACACACGTTGAATAATAAAATATACAATCGACTGATGGCACCGATCGTCCCTAAATAAGGTGAAGGGTGACTGAGGGGTTGGTTTGCTTGTTCATTTCAGGTGACAGTGTTTTAATCGCGACAGCCTCCAGAACAAAGCTAGAGCAAGTGCAGAAAAAGCTTATTAAACGCACCTTCGCCATGGTCTTGGACAACACTTGCATGCAATTTATATATACATATATATGCATATATATATATATATATATATATATATATATAAATCTTTATGTATACACTCATAGTATTTTTCCAGCCACATATCGATCAGCCAACCACAAAGTACAAATCATATCGAAAGTTATATATCATGAGGTAAATTTCAATCAGTGATACGTTCTTGAATGATAAAAATTTAAAAACACACTTGAACACACAACAAAAAGCACATTGATTCAGAATCTTGCACTTTTGCTCGTACTCAGCAATTGTGTTATATGATGCAATGTCATAACGAAGGTATCGGCGCCTATAAATTATCTTCCCTCATTTAGGCCGGGTTCACAACGTTGCAGAAGTTTGCTGGAAAAAGAAACCCCTTGCACCATCATAAGCGTGTGGGTTGGAAAAATGTAACTCGGGGATGTGGTGGATTCTAATTCCGCGATTCCCGAGATACTGATGTCAGGATTAGCTTGCATATTCTAGCATCCACATTTTTTCCTGCAGTCCCTGGAGATGTTCGAATGTTGAGCGTGGTGTCGAAATATGCTATAGAGTATAGGTATCACTACCAGAGTATGAGTGTCACTATCAGAGTATGAGTAACACTATCAGAGTATGAGCATCACTATCGGACATGATGAAACACCATCACGTGTAGTATATCGGACACGATTCTGCACCTATGTTCCCTGTACAGTGACGATGCAGAAGAAGGAATGAGCTGCAGGCATCAAATTGAAAGATGTATTTTGCGATGGCAACGCCCTATGTTCTTCAGTTTGTATTCACTGCTGTGATCATTCATTCCCATACCCTGTCATATTCGTTCGTCCACTGCGAAATTGGTTTGCGGTTGTGCGCTCGGTGGTGCTTGTATTTAGTTGTCTACGGTTCGGCTACGGCCGCGGCTCTATGGCCCACTTAGGTGTCGAGGGCATGTGGCATCGCTTGCTTTTTACCCCGGGAGGAAGGGCGGACACTGCGAGTAATCGAATCGAATCCCTTATTCCTGAATTTTTAGACGTGTTCGGCTTATCCACTCCACTGTCGTCACTCGTATGTGTTCAGTTGTGATAAAAGTCGACATACGTTTTGTTTTCACAGGTGCTGGACAGAACTACTGAGCAACACAGACGCTAGAAGGATTTGGTGGTCCTCACTGTTCGAGCTGCAAGAAGTAGAGTTTCCGGGATAGAAGACCAGCCCACAGAGAGTTATCTTTCACCAGCCCGGCCAGCAATTCACTGTTATCCATGTAGCACGTTCCTCGCCAGCCCAGCTCCCTCCAGAGACGCCCATCCGTTCCCCGCCAGCCCAGCTCTGTCAAAACGCCCATTGGCTTCCCCGTCAGCCGAGCCCCTTGCAGGACCACCCATCTGCTTTCTGTGAACCCAGTTTCCGCCACAAACACTCACCTGACCGTCGCCAACCCAGCTTCCCCATACGAAACCCAGGCCACTCCCCGTCAGCCTTGCTCCCCCATAAAACACCCTAGGTCGGTCTTCAGCCCACCTCCATCGTACCACACCCGCCGGATCCTCGCCAGCCCGGCTCCCTTGTTACGAAACTACCTGTTCCCGTGAAGCCGAGGTCCCTCGACCGCATCCACCGCCGCGATAAGAACTTGTGGCGGTTGACCTGTGTGTGTCCCAACGCGGCACCAAGCATGCGTTTCTCGGCCAATTTCGTTTATCATAAATTTGCCGCTGATTCGGGTTATGCCCAGAGGCGGATACGAGCATTACAACGTGGAGCTGAATGGAGAAAGCTGCGCCTTACATCGCAACTGTGTTGGGCATGAAACATGACTGCATCGTGTGTTCTCAAGATCGTGCTTTCGCCACGAATTTGAGGTGCCTTGCAGCGGTGCTTTTCTGGTCGTCAGATATGTAATATGCAAGGGCTAAAATGCAGTCACCTTAAAAAGTCCACGAAGTTTAAGGAAAAAGTGGAAGTTTGTCCCACTCTTGGGCCTTTGCAAGGACGCCACTGAAGTTGCCTGATCACTTGCAGAGGCTGTTCGAACCCTCAGGTTTAGATGGAGACGTGACCCGTCAAAATCGGTACCCGTATGGTCTGATTTGTCTGGAAAAGAGTTAAAACTGAACGTGTAAATGTGATTTTTGCAACAGTGATCGTCGTTGCAGTTTTTCTTTCTTTTTACGTTCCGTCACTTTCGTCACCGTAAAATGAGGCATGTTCCACAAACCCAGTTCGCTCGAAAGCACATGATGGGTACTTTTGGGTTTGGGTGAACGTCTACATTGATGTACATCGACCGATGTGATTCGACGACCGACATCCCCAGCACGACATCATAACTGACCGCAAAACGCGCTTATGTTTACTCTTTGAGGCATATGTTAGAGAGTGCCCCACATTTCCGTGATGGTTTTGAACTGAAATAGCCATCTTAAAGGTCAGTTTGTGCAGTTAGCAGCCCCGCCCATCTTAAGGCCTAATCCCCTCTAGTTTCCGAACTACATGCCCGCGAATATAAGGGGCCTTTTTCGGGGCGAGTATTTCAAGACCACCTCGGCATTTGTGACGCCATAATAAAGTCACTCAAACCCCGCCGCTCAATAAGCGACGCGGTGATTCAGGCCAATGAACATACAATGGTAGATTCGTTCATATCAGGCGTTCGTGAGCGCGATTTCCAGATACAACGGCCGTCGATTGGCTCTCAGTCAATGTTGTGCAAGGTGCCATGATGTACCAACATGATGTACCAACAATGATGTATCGAAGAGTATGTGGAAGGCGTTAAGTGCATTTGCGAGGAATATTGTTCACATAGACAAGACAATGACAATAGGCTTATCGCTCGGGAGAAAAACGAGGAGAATAGAGCTATAGATGCATTGATATTTCGGCAAGGTGCCTGTATCGAAACAAACAGCGAAGTGAATTCACTTCGGCTATCTGTCTGTCACGTACTGCACGACGCTTGAAATCTGCGTTTGCTGGCAGCCACCCCTCGGCCCGCACTTCTTAGTTACGCAGCCAGTCACATGTTTCCTGGCCGGCCGGGACATCGCTTCCTGCGACGCGGCCACTTGGCGCTGAGTGCTACGGTGTGGAGGTTGCTGCGAGCCTACTTACTCGGTCAGGTAATTATTTGAAATATAGCATCACCCGACCGATGCGTTTGTCGTGATTGGATGTGAGGCGAACTGAAATGAGAGAGAACGCGCGTTGAAAAGACCAAGATAGCCCTCGTCGCCCAGTACACGAATGCTTAGTGTTAAGCTGTGGGTCTGTTTTGCGGATCAGGTAGAACCGTGATGACGACGCGCTGCATGACATGCAGAGTGAGAGCTGTGTACACCAGAAGTGAGACTTCTGCCGCATTGAGAGGCAATGGAGTCCGTCGGGAGACGTAGATTAGTCCAGTGCGCTTGGCACGAACGCCTCAGACGAGCCGACTGAAATAAAGGAAGGTGTAGTTAGATCGACAGAGTGGGCGAAAGAAACGGGATGCTTCAAAACCGAAGAAACTGTATTCTGTTGACGTACTTTCATGGCAAACGACACAGCCGTCTTTTCTCGCACCTCCAGCTGACTTAGAGGTCAGACAGACGTTATCTCTTTGAGACGTTACGCTTAAGGCAGAGTTACCAGGGCAGAAGGGAAGAGGTTGACAAGCCTCACAGTAAATGACAGTGGGGGAGGGAGGGCTGAAAACGGCTGTAAATGCGTAACGTAAGTTGTGGACGGCCCGGGAACACCTAAAAACCATTCGACTCTATGAACACACTGCGGCCGACCTGGATGAATGAGCAAGAGTGTGGTGCTAGTCGCTAGTGCCGTCGTTAGTAGGACGACTGTCAGACCGACTGGGGACGGGACGCAGGACGACGTACCGGTGGCCATATATAAATCAGAGCGAACCGGTTGGTCGGCGTATCGGCGACAACAGTAACCCTGCCACCGGCTAAGATCGAGAGCGAGGAGTGGGCTAACTGCGATGTAGTGCACGAGCTGGGAAGCTGTAAGGAATTCATAGGTTTGGCGGATGAAGGGTGTCTGATGGCTGCACTGAAACGCTGACTGTTAACAGAGGCTGGTCACGCATCAGCCACAAATGGAAACAATGTGTCGACGGGTGTGTTTCGGGCAGATGCGAACTGAAGTTAACATGCGTCAAACAAAATAGGTTGAGTTTGCGAAACTTTCAGGCATACATAATTAAATCTTCGCCCGGAATATTGGGTGCTCCTGTCATTTTAACGGGAGCCTTCTATTGGTTTTGCGGGGGTTTATGTGTTTGTAATGGGGCCAAGGGTGGATCATTTTGGACCTCCTGTCGACCAATAGGGCGTGATGTTGGCTATCTTGAGCCTCTTCCAGGTCAGATGTTTTCTCCTACGTGCCTTAACCCTCACCCCGGTAGGAGCGGGGGGGGGGGGGGGGGTGGATGATACAACCCTCCTAAGGTATTTGAGGATGTCTCTCCGGCATGTTGCGCGATCGCGTCCAAGTTTTCAGTAACCTGTGAGGGATCCATTTGTATGTTTTAACACTAAAATCATGTTCCTAGCTATCTGGTTTCGGAGCAGTGGCGGTTTTGGGGAAAGACTGCGCGGCAATATACGGCCAACGCGTACGACGGGCAGCAACCAACGATGCCGCGGAACGCGTTCGGCGGACCGACATTGTCACATTGACGTAGCGATATGCCGTAACTGTATGTTCAAAACACAAAAATACACCATTGTGCTCAAAATGGAACAAGAAACACGTCTGTTAAAGTTTTGTGGCGCCGCAAGGAACTTCATTGTATGTATAATGCTGCAAAGCTGAAAAGGTGCAACTCTCTGGAAAGCACGACCGTGGACCTGCCATAACTGGGCTCAATTGTTAAACCAACAGCTTAAAAACTAATACCAATCGCGAGATGCCATTGAAACCAAACCAATTATGTATTCTGCCTATTCTTATTGCAAACGCGAGGGAGACCGCATACCCCGTTCATCAGTTCGCATTAGAAAAACAGTGAATCAGGGCGAGGATTACGGGCCCTTCTTTTGGTTTGATGAAAGCCCATACAAGACTCGAGAACAACGTGGACAAGCGCATGGTCTACCGACGACGTAGGCAGTGATCCTTTAGTATTAGGCCCACTTGCCGAGGGCATACTTTCAGCAAAGTCTCTCCAGTACCCGGGGCCGGTATTGCTAGCAGAACACATTTCACACATGTCAGTTCAAGACCCTGAACAAACCGGCAGTCCGAAGAAGCATTAGTCGTGTAAAATCTCCCATGTCAGGAATGTTGCAGTATCAGCAGCCTTCTATTGCAGGAGGGTAGAATAATGCGCGCTTGTAGTGTTACTAGCAATAAGATAATGCGCTTTCACGTTAATCAGCACTGGACGCCACAGTTACAACGGAGCGGTAGATCATCTTCTGTTAAGGAACCATCCTGGCCGGTTGTGATTGGTAGTTACCCATGGTAAGGTTTGAGGCTCAGTCCTGGTAGAATTTAGTCCAGCGGCATTTCCAAGCATCTGACTCCCCTCGCCATATCAGATGGGGTGGGTGATAACCTTTTTGTTTACGACTGCCCTCCCAAACCCTTCGCTGCGCCAGGCGGGGGGGGGGGGGGGGGGGGGAGGGCTGCACAGGCCGCCGCGCCCGGAAAGGTCGCGCTGGTCCCCGTGCCTTGGCCAAACGCTATGGACAGCATGACTGTCCACATGCACCAGGAATTTTGGGGGGATTAAAGTTTTGTTTGTTGCTCGGTCAGCTCCTGTCGAATCGAAGAAGTTAGACCTAACATTCGACTCCGAATATGGACTAAAAATGGAATGAAAATAGACCAAATTGGAGACCGATTTGCAACAAGTTTGGGGAAACGCCGCCGTTGGTTCTTTAAAGATTGATTAATTTTCTACCTTAAATATTTAATGTGATGTTAAGCAATCGTGCGAGAAGGTAAACATGTCTCATGTGTTGATAATGCAGTTGAGCATCAAACGTTTGAGATGATAAAACACATGATGCGTTCATATTCGTATCACTACATCTCGGCATATTTCCATAACATCTCAGCTTGTAGTGCTTCAATTTGGTTCTGTATCTTTTGTTTTGTCTTTGATTGCAAAAGAGTTGGGAATAAAAATCCCGGAGATTAGAGGTTTGTAATGGCGTCCTTTCATAGAGAGCACATCAAGCAAAGACAAAAAGTTTAATCACACTTTCCAACCTTTTAAAGAAAAGTTACGGAGCTGTGTAAATCACATTACCAGATTCATGTGTTGGGGTGTGTTATACGTCAGAGCCAACGACTGCTATATTGCCGAGACGCACTGATAAAAATCACTATCAGTCGTATTCCCATTGACTTAACATTGGTTTCGCTTTTGGAAACCTAATTTGTGTAATGGCTCGCCGAATTTTGGAGCTAATACAAAATTTTGACCGTGGCTGGAAAGGTCGGTGCAAGTTGTTTATTCCCTACGAGCTATCTGTGGGTGCCGAAAGTGCATTGGTACACGCATCTGGTGAATTCCTGTGCTTCTGGGGAAACCAGAGGTACGAGATTCGAGTCCCCGCGGTGCCCGCCCTTCCTGCCAGGGTAAGAGGCATGTGGCGCCATATAGCCTCAGCAGCTAAGTGAGTCGTAAAGCAACAGTGACGACGGCAACGACCTATAACCTATCTTAACACACGCCCAGGTGGCCGGCTAGATACCATTTGCTCGGGTGGGGGGGCAATCTAAACCCCCTAAAATCTCCGGAACTAAGAAAGCTAGCAACACTAAATTTACAAGGTGTATTGACCTGTACGTGAACTCACTTAGGTCAAAGTTTCAGGTTCCTAGGGCATGACCTTTGGGTCAAAAAAGGTCAAACAAGGTCAAGTTCCAGGATGGTCTCCAAAGTGCCCTCAGAACCTAGATAACCGCTTCTAAGCAAAAGATCATATTATCATTCAAGGTAATTTACCTTGTTTGACCTTTAAAAGTCAAGGTGACCAAAATCATACCAGATTGCTTTGAGTTTTGCATTTGACTAAGCGACAAAGATTGCGCTAGGCTGTACGCTCCTAAAACAAAATGTTGACCTGGGTCATTTCGGGTCAATGACCTATTCTGGCCTCTAAGAAGCCCATGGGAGATGTATAATGCAGTTCCTGCTATCAATAAACCCGAAATGAGCACCAGAAACTATCCCATACAGTAAGCTCTAGAGCAACAAAACAGGTTGGTTTTGACCTTGGTGTGACCTTCACACCTGACCTAAAGTCGATTTAATTTGTTTATTCAACTGTTGCGTTGCCTAAGAAAGCATTTCAGAGATGTATGGCTTCGTCTAACACTCCATTGTTGGATCAGATTGAAGGATTCCCTAGAAATTGCCTTCGCTGAAACCATGGCCTGACTTTGACCTGCCATAGGTCGGCGACCCTAAAAGGTACATATAAATTGTTGATGTAAAATGATCTGCTATTCAATTGTCTACAGTTATGCAAAATTTGCCCCCCCCCCCCCCGAGTGCGTGTTAATGTACATACAAGTGTCATGGTGTTGTTTCCAGTTGAAGTCATAAACGTACCATTTTCGATAAACTTTTACACAACTCTTACTTTATTATCCAACTTTTATCAACGGCCGGCCTCGTCAGCCTATGGATGAATACCTTGAGAAAAAACGGCAATTGGCAAACAGCGCTGAGCAGCGCGTCCAAATAAGCGTTAAGTGCGTATCGACGAGTGGCAAACAAAACAAATTTTAAACTTGCTTGCCCTTTTTTGGTATAGTTCCTTACATTTTGACAGTTCCTTACAACAGTTCCTTACACATGCAGTTCATTACAACCCGATTTTGAAACAAGTTAACCACTTGCAGTTCATCGCACCTAGTAGGTGAGAGCAGTGTTTTTGCTATGTAAGAAACACAACAAAGAGTTAAATCGGATCAGATAGAAATGTCGAACTGAATGTAAGGAGATGATCCCGTCAGATTTCATTGTCCTGAAACACACGACTAAGAAATACCATACTTCAGAGCCCATAGACTTATTTAGATGTTAAACACTTAAGATGGAATATTTGGAATACGTGTTTCTGTAGTGAATTGTTTGGTTCTAAAAACATTTCAAGCTTCCAAGAGTATAGAAAAGAAAACGAAAAAAGGAATTACCTCTCGTAATGTAAAAATTTTGTCCAATTTTTGCTACGCTCATTTTCGCGCATGGATGTCTGAAATTTGCCCGTTTGTGGTACCCTGCTAATTCGACCCAACCTAGCTTGAAACGTCGGCGTGCCAATTAATTTTCACAACCGACTTCCTGCAGCCCGTCAAAAGTTGTGGCAAATGATTTACGGCAGGTGTAAATCAACGCATTTTTAAAGCTGCATGGTACATTTTGACATCAAATGATAAGGTATTATTAGGCTTATAACTAGGCTCCCTTACAAGATAGAATGGCGCAAATGGTTTCGACCAAAGGACAATACAAAACGTTATCTTTTGTAGGAAGCATGATTAGAAGTGTTAGATGACTCACTTTATAACATTCAAACAACATATAAAACACATTAAAGATACCTCCAAGAGCTCTGACTAATGTCAGAATGCGAAATCCATCACAACAAAGAATGTGTGTATATTCGTGCTTTACGTGTTGTCGCACAACGTCATGTCCGAGACATGGTGGGTAAATTTCCAGAAATATAACTTTAAACGCCTAATTTGATCTCTAACCGAATTTGGGATAACATTTGTTACTTGACCAGTAGGCCAATTTTCAACTCATTTTTCGGAAGAAGGTTGCAGAAGAAACGGCATATCATTCCCCACTGAACGTGCATGAGCGACCGGGATCGTAAAATATCGTTTTAGAATAACCGTTAGCGATAGCCATATTGTACGTGAATGTTGTGTTTTGTGGGGATTGTCGGTGTCTGATTTTGGGAACTTATACAAAGGTGGTGATTTTATCTCTGTCGGCGGTGAATTTATTCTCCCTCGGAAAGTTGATGCGGTAGATTCATCCTCAGTTCCATATGCCCCTTTATGTCACTTCCGGTTGAGCTACGGTCATAAAATCTACCAAGGCACCAGTTCAATCCATTATGAACACAAAGTTTAGGAGACAGAACTCAGCAAGACGATTTGATGTCCTATGTCCGTGCATGCGTATATAGGGTACTGTTGGAACGTAATGATGAACCCTAATTCAAGTTAGCACGGGAAGAATGCTGGTCAACGGATCTTTTCCGGATAAAACATAGATAATGCAAGACGGCAAGAGGAGTCTGGAAATTTTAAACATTTAGAATAATTCAACTTTGGATCGAGCTACAGCCAAAAGCTGACTTTTGCGTAGCGCTATTGGAAAACGTTTCCTTCGTGTTTTACATAGGTATCAAAGCCTGGAGGCTTATAACCAGCGCTCTGATATGCAACTTATTGGTTGCAATGTACTCGGCCCAGTGTAACGAGAGCGGCGTTTTGTGTTAATATCATGATATTGGAGGCGGGTGACCGATCCTTGATAATTACAAGCGTCAGACATGCACTGCGACCTAATTTCGTGAACTTGGGACCCCGCAGCGTAACAAAATTGGCTTGTTTTGAACATAAGGAATGTTATAGGTCCACATACGGACGCAGACATGAAGGGGTGGAAGCAGGCACAAGAAGCACGTGGCCCCTTCGGTCCCTCCGGATTGACAATCTACGACCCGATTACAGGGCTCGCACGGCCGAAGGGCTGGCTGGAGATCTCCAGTTCGAAGGACCGAAGCCCTATGATGACCATCAAAGGGTTTCTGGCGGTGAAAGGGGCCCATCTGAGAAAAAAACCTTCACTTCGGTCGAGATCACCAACAATCGGCCCTTTGTCGGACTAAGGCCCATTTTCCAAGCATGGACAAAGTCTGGGCTCACGAATGCCATTCAGAGGACCTCACAAGTCACATTGGTCGGGGTTTTCTTGTCGGACAGGATGTCCTCTGATCACGGTGCATACGTAAAAGGAAATTGTGTGCTGCTCGAGCCGGCCAGAGGCCCATTTGGTACCCATCACAGCCCACCATAGGCCTTCTCCGTTGGTTCGGACCCTCTGAGAACGACAGAAGATTGATAGCAGTGAAAGGGTGCATAATGAGTCGAAGAGGCAGTTTGAGGGCTCCGATTCTCACAGCAGGCCTCAGTAACAACCGGGAGCCCTCTACCCCGCTTCGACCAGTGGCTCGTTGAGTGGAACTGAGTCCCCTATGCAAATTATTTGACCCTCTGCGCCCGTAAGTGATCTGTTCGCATCAGTGAGAGCCACTTCTGGCTGCAGCTGGCTCCGGCTGCAGCTACTCCGGTGAGAAGACAGCCGGTTGCGTCGTGGAGGGAACCGGTAAATAATTCTTTCCTTTAGGGCCTCAGAATGGATCAAGGCGCCCCGATTCTCATGTCGCGAGATGGCAACTGGTGAATGCCTTGCGGTGGGATGGAAAGGCTCTTTAGCCACTGACCGGAAAAGTAATACACCTCCCCTGGTGTGAAACCATCTGCTAGAGCAGTGCAGTGTGCTCTGCACTAGTATATATACCATCCCAGTGTAGTACCCACGCCCTCCTTCGTCCCGCATATCCGAGGGTCTCTTAACACGCGCCCGGGCGGCCGGCTAGATACCCTTCGCTCGGGTGGGGGAGGTCAATTTGACCCCCCTGAGATCTCGGGAACTAAGAAAGCTAGAGACACCAAATTTGCAAGGTATGTTGACCTGTACGTGAACTCACTTAAGCCAAAGTTTGGGGTTCCTGGGTCATGACCTTTGGGTATAATAAGGGCAAACAAGGTCAACTTCAAGGATTGTCTTCAAAGTGCCCACAGATCCTAAATAACTGTTTCAAAGCAAAAGGTAAAATCCTCATTTGAGGTCAGTGACCTTGTTTGACGTTTTGAAGGTCATGGTGACGAAAGTCATGCAAGACTACTCTGAGTTTTGCAGTTGAATAAGCGACAAAGATTACGCTGGGCAGTATACTTCTAAAAACAAAATGTTCACCCGGGTCATTTCAAGTCAATGACCTATTTTGACCTCTAAGAAGTTTGTGGAAGATGTATAGGGTGGCCCCTGCTATCAATAAATTCGAAATGAGCACCAGAAACCATCCCATACAGCAAGCTCTAGAGCAATAAAACAACTTGGTTTTGACCTTGGTCTCACCTTCATACCTGACCTTAGGTCAATGGTAATTGCTTATCCGATATTTGTGTTGCCCAAGAAAGCAGCTCAGAGATGTATGACTTCGTCTAACAGTCCGCTGTTGCATCAGATTGAACGATTCCCTAGAAATTGACTTCGCGGAAACCATGACCTGACTTCCCCTGCCGTAGGTCGGCGACCGTACAAGGTACATATAAATTTTTGATGTGAAACGGTCTGCTATTCAATTGTCTACAGCTATGTAAATATTGACGAAGCTGTGCTGCGCCGTTCGGAAACCATGCCGGAAAAACCTGTGGGGGCCAGTGACCGCACATCCGAGCGCTTAAGTTTGCAAGTCATCGATGTCATCTTAAAGTGCGAACGCCGGCAGAACCGGAATATAAGATGAAAGAAATTAGGTAAATTCCGGTAAACTTTTGAGGATTTTCATCATGCGCGTTTATTACGCTGTGTTCCCCTTTTCAACTCACCAAGACTCTCCTCTATGCCACCACCTTGTTCTCCCTTATCAACTCACCAAGACTCTCCTCCTATGCCACCACACTATTCTCCAACGCTTTTCTTCTCCTCCTAGGCTCTTCACACCACACAAGACTCCCTACCTTAAGCTACCATTAGACGTCACGTGAGGCGAGCTTCGTGTTGACATGAAACGCTTTGGTGCGCCCGTTTGATATAAATAGGGCGGAAATAGAAGCAATGAATAAATCAGATACAACCCTCCAAATCTATCACACGTGACCGGAGAAGCGGAACAATCGCATCAGATGAACTGACCTGACCTGACATGACCTTAGCCTGAACTGACATGACTTTGGCCTGAACTGACATGATCTTAGCCTGAACTGACATGACATTTCAAAATTCTGGTTTTATGGTATGATCCTAACGGACAATGATACGTTCGTTCGCTTCACATAGTTACGCAGCTCTACCCGCAATATTGCTGGCATATTTACCCTGATATCGGTTTGAAAACACTAGTTTCAGTTGATCTGAGGTCACTGAAGATTTCGATTATTTCTGAGGTAATCTGCGCCGCCTGTAACATCGTGAAGCACGTCACATTTCACATAAATGCCAGGGTGAAGTTGCCCGGGATAACCAGTGCTTGAATTTTTTAATTAGACGATTGGACTCTTAGATATAATAAACACAACGTACTGCTGGCACCGGAACGTTAGGGGCCCCGTATTTCGAACATAAATTTCGAACGAACCACCTGGCATGAATGCACTTCGCTCCAGTGTGCGTTTCAGACCATGTGACATTTTTTTTAGTGAACTTTCGTAGCATAAAACGCAATAAATGGAACGTTCCTTTCACTCATTATGCTAGTAACATCGCTGAAAAATCGATTGCAGGTAAAGGCCACCGTGACATATGCTCTGACGTCAGAGACATCCCAAGGACGTTCTCCTGGCGCCAAAGCTAGATGCCGGAAGCAACGTGACAGGATGGGACAAACAAAACAGCTGAACACATGGTAGTGCACGACGGACGGCAGGGCAGGACAAAAGACAGAGGACGTGGGCGGCGGCAAAAATCCACAAAATCCAAAAATCTTGAGTATAGAGGGCCGAAAGCGGAGGACAGAGGACAACGACGGCCAGAACGACAAACAGAAAACAGATAAACACAAAACCCGTCCTGTTCTGGCCAGCGCACGCTGACACATTCTGTTCACGACAGGACAGGACATGAAAGGACAGACCCGGCCATGGCAGGTTCGGCCTTATGCGAGTTTTTCACCTTCGTCCAATAATGAGGCCTCAGGGCCTCTACGAAAAATGTTGGAAACTAACAAGCTATGGCCACGGCAGAAACGGCATCTGAAAGCTCCAGTCGAGCTGTAATAAATGGGTGTGATTGAACATAGGTGAACGTAATATTGGACAGATCAATCAGGTCACATGGTTCTCATTAGAGCGCCTAACTGCCTCCTCTTATGTAAAAAACAAAGATTGCTAAGACAATGCAGAGGATGGCGCCATATGGGTTCGGAGAGCTTTGCAAGAGGAATAAAAATAGTAAACATCGACAGGTGTGACCTGTGATGTCGTTTTCGTCATTTGACTTTTACAGCGCACTCAGATGTTGGGCGTCGCCTTCCTCTCATCCTGACAGGAAGAGTGGGCACCGCGAAGAATCCAACCCCCGCACATCTGGTTTCCTACAAGCGCAGCCCTATACTAACGGTAAGCATGCGAAGCAGGGAAGGCTGTTGTTGCATTGGCCCACCCAGCGTCATTAGGAAACTTTCAGAGTTTAAGACCATTAAACGTCACATAGGAACACCTTCAAAAAGCAAATCTGTTCACAAAGACCATAGTTCGACCTGGCTTGACCTTGGGTGAACACACGTGACAAAAGAAACCAGAAAAATATCAATGCACAACAGTGATATTGATATGCGATTCAAGGGCCAAAGGTCATCGCTATTGTCACTAGCTCGACATCCGCACCAGGACAAAGACGCTGCCATCTGGTTCGTTGGCTATTCATCCCCTCAAAAAATTACCGTGCACATGGGTGGCCAAAGGTACTTCCAATTTAGACTGGAAGAATAATCTGACCAAGGGCCTCTCATCTGCGTTAACATAGGCAAAATCGACCATAGTCTTTTCGATAGCCGGTAGTCCGAGCTTGGAGATTTCCAATAGAGGTGGGGGTGGGGGCGTGCTATCTGTGCCGCCGCTGTCTGTGCCACGGGGTATCACTGTGTGAGATTATTCAAGTGGTATGCAGGTTTTACAATTATGATACTAAAAACTGCAGGGCAAGGCAATCCTCGGGCTCGGTCTCTGATGCCACTGTTTCCCTTTTGTCCAGTTCCCACGCAACCTATGGTGGGTTTCCCGTTGCGATCACGATGCGAGACTGTGCAGCGTGAGGAAAAAGCGCATCAGTACCTGTCGATGTGCTGCGCCATATACCAATGCATGAACTTAAACGATTTGATGACGTGGTGCTCATGTGTGGTTTACATGACACTGAAAGTACTGCGCCGAATCACGCCTACTTGCCGCCAGAGATGAAGGAGGACGTAGGCAACATGATTTCTAAGTCGCCACCACAGATTCAGCGATAGGAAATTGTCGCTGTTACTTTCACCGACTACGTTTTAGTGTCAGCTGCCATTGGCCGAGAAAAGGCAAAATTTGGAAGGTGCTAACCTGCGCTTCATGGAAGAGGTGCGACCCTTGTACCTTCGGTGCCGAGCTGGCGCCGAGATGCTGCTATGTTGCATAACGGGTGATTGAAATTTCCCGTTATTTCCCGGCCATTCTCTACCGATTTCGGGTCCCGAGATGCACCTGCTCGTCAGTTTGCTGGGAGAAACGAAATAGCCCTGCTTTGTTTCGATCGCACCATACCTAAGTAGGGTGATATGAACTCAGCCATATCAATAATTTTTTATTTTCATGTTTTCATGTTTCATGCTAGCATTTTCTCAAGATGCAAGCAATATGCACAAAAGAACACATTAGAGGCGACGGCTTTGGTTTGATCATACACCTTCCCATCCAAAAAACTATAACAGGACTATTTCTTCTCCAAATAGGCCATAATATCAGCTGCAAGGTTTATCAATAATTGATTGCCTGGTGTCCAAGCCGAGCGCCCCGGGCTGGAAAGCCGGGAGACAAAACTCTCACAAAGCTTTTTTGGGAATTAGTTGCCTAAGTTGGAAATATATATGCAAACTGGAACAGTCCATGAGTGCGTCTTAAAGAAACAACAATAAGAAATCATGCTGACATGAAAGGTCAAGGTCTGGGCAAAGGTCTGCATACCCCCATTACATGTTTGCAGGGGCTGGGTCAATTGAAGTGCTTCATTTCCTCAAAAAGTATATGCTCTTTGGGTAAATGAGGATGCTGTGTCATGGACATGTAGATGCCACAGTGGGTCAGGTCAAGGTCATTCCATATGTTACCATAATTTGCTGTATTCATGCAATCTATGATTCAAAATATTTTGCACATTCAATTTGATTGCATTATGTAGCCCAAATGTCAGCTACAATTTTTTTCTGGTCATTACATAGTCAAGATGTAGGTAGGATGCCAAGATGGGGTCATATGAGGCCAACATGACACACAGTATGCTAGTCATGTCATGCATGGTTCTGGATTGCTTATCCCGCAGGAATCCAATATAATCACTTATAATCTTGCATCAGGTTATTAGTGCCTCAAGAGGTCAAATCCTGTCATTTGTTACAACTTACTATGACCTTTGAAAAACATTCAAGAGGTAAGGAAATCAATCTTGAAACTGCTGCATAAAAGCTACCACTCTGCTCATGTCTTGTTTAAAATGCAGATTTCATAATTTTCAGAGGTAGAAATTTCAATTTGTCAGCAAAAGAGGAAAGCAAGCCTTTTTGTAACAATTAGACAATGCCTAGTGCACAGCCTGCCTGTATTTATCCATGCATAACACACTCCAGCATGGTTTTCAGAATACCAGGAGCAGCCATACAGTGTCCTTATTCTAGATATCAATGACAATGGGACATAAGTAAAAGACCTGGTCACAGCATTTCTTTTCTATACAGCATGCACAGTTCTCACTATTGGTGGCTTAGGGCACCAATGCATGTCCAATGTCTATCCACAGCAGCACAGTCTTGTGACAGTTCTTGTCACTGCAAAGATTGCAGACACCCCTCTTTCCACACCTCCCTCCTGGGTACCTGTTTCTGACAATTTCATTGCAGGTCCCTGGTATATCTACGCAAAAAAAATTAGAGTGCTATAGTTATCATCAGGTTTGGAATGAAGAGCTAGGCCTTTATGATACCCTTGATATAATTAGACTCATACAGCAAGTTATGAAGCTTGTACCACAAAGCATGCAGTGGAGCAGCTACAAGAAATGTCATCTGATCACTTTCATGGAAATTATATATCCATCACATAATGTGCTTACATGCACTCATATACCTAAAGATGATGATGTGATCATGAAAAATTGACTTCACATGGGATTCAGTCCGCAAAACAACCATAATATGTGATCAGATGAGACTGCAACCTAATCCTATACATGAATATTTGCAGCATTATGTTTGTTAGCTGTCATTTATACTGCTCATATCTCATGCCTCAAAATGATTTGAAACAAAAAATCAAAAAAGGGGCTAGTTATGAAGCTTGGACCCCAAAGCATGCAATGGAACAGCTACAAAAAGTGTCCTATCTCATCACTTTCATGGAAATTATACATCCATCACATAATGTGCTTACATGCACTCATATACCTAAGGACGATGATGTGATGATGAAAAATTCACATGACATGGGATTCAGTCCCCAAAACAACTGTAATGTGTGATCAGATGAGATTGCAACCTACTCCTACACATAAATATTCATGGCATTATGTTTGCTAGCTGTCATTTGCACTGCTCATATACCATGCCTCAAAATGATTTCAAACAAAAAATAAAAAAGAGGCTAGTTATCTGAGCAGAGTCTGGATTAATTGAAGAGATGCATCAGCTTTACAACACATAATAACAATAAGGTGGTATATTTTGTACCATGAGGTTCATACATGCCCTCAAAACTGCAGCTATAGAAACACAACACAAGCAAGCGTAGTGCAAGACAGCAGGCAAAGCACTGAACTCCCTGCAACTAGTGGCCCAATGCCGCCTTACACTAAAATCATGAAGAAAAACCTGTGCCTTTAACATTAACATCTGGTTAGCAAACGGCTACCGCACACAGGAACAGCACCGTGTACAATACACTCCTTTAGCTTTCGTGCATAACACACAAAAGCCCCAAACACACCATAATTTCACGCACAACCCCACACACGCGCCTCGACGAGTCGGAATCAACTCGTGAGTGGGTTATATTTCCAAACGGCGCAGCGGAACATGTTGAAACACTGCCGTAATTCGCTGCGCTACGATACCACAGTGATCGTTTGATGTTTATCACGCATAGAACCGACCCCTCGCACGGGATTCTGCATTTTTGCACTTCCTTGCCTCCAAGGCTGCCAATGCGCGTATTCTTGACGCGTACAACCATCTGAAAGGTTTTTGGAGGGTGTATAAGCCCGGTGCGTAACCGCCCTCCGTTTTGGAGGGTGTATAAGCCCGGTGCGCAACCGCCCTACGTTTTGGAGGGTGTATACGCACAGTTACATATATATATATATATATATATATATATATATATATATATATATATATATATATATATATATGTATATATATATATATATAACAAAATCCAAATATATATGATAAAACCAAAAATTTTAGTTATATGCTGTACATTAGCCTTTACTATACCCAATTTCTTCAACTTACATGCACATTTTAGGCTTAAGTTCACATATAGGACTCATACCTGTGACTTAACTCAAATCAAGTTAGAATGCCAGGACATATGTGTATGCTAACCAAACTTGTGTTTGTCTCAAGGTGACCCATGAATGCACTCAGGAGTCAATGCTTTTAGGTTGATTTTTAGCCTGAGCCAGTCAACTAGGAAAATGATACTTTGAGCAATAGGCTAGTCATTCTTCACAAATGTCATGAGCTTGATCATGAGCTGATAAATTCTACCAATGTTGTGCTAGTGGCTGAAATTTAAGTTGCAATGTCAATAAACATATGATGGCTCAAATTGATGTGGCAATATGCAGAAATACAGCTTGCTTTTGCAAAATCTCAGCCAGAAACTGATATATATATATAGATATATATATATATATATATATATATATATATATATATATATATATATATATATATCTCTCTCTCTCTCTCTCTCTCTCTCTCTCTCTCTCTCTCTCTCTCTCTCTCTCTCTCTCTCTCTCTCTCTCTCTCTTTCCCAAGGCCCTGTAGTCCATGATATATCAATATCATACTCAGACGGTAGATAACACTCTTCTGTAAATTACGCGCAAGAGTTCTTCCAGGCACGTTTCCCAACCACTTCCTCGATGCCTCCCACTCACCACCCACCGACAGACCTTGCCGCGTCCTAGGAGCAACTCGCATTCAAATGGGAATTGGTATCCCAAAATGGCGAAGGTTTTCTACTTCCATTGAACCAGAAGAATATCACGAAGTTCACCTCCAAATAGCGTCATTTCCTCTGTTCATCGCTTAAATTCGGCCACTTTTAGACCAATCGGTGCTAAACAGAGTTCCCCTCTTAGCACGATCCATACTAAATATTCTCGGGGATACATTGAGCAGGCCTTTCCTATAACCTGGTAATCTTCCGTTTTATTTAAAGCTGCATAATAATGTAATCCTAAAGTTTTAAAAGCAACATATTTGTCGGGATGGGTCTTATCTAGATATAACTGCCTCCCGCGAAGATCATTGCTTTGACGTCATGTGGGATACATCTGAGCAAGATCATTCGAGTTCGCTTCTATTACCTTGAAGGCGTGACCTCTTGTCAATGTTGTGGTTGGTGCCGGACGGTGTGTCGTGTGGGGAGTCGAGGGAGGGCGCGTGTCGTTTGGGATTCTCTTGTCCAGTTATACACACCAGAGCGGGGTACAAACAAGCCGAACATATGCAAAGTTGAAGGGAGCCTGTCACGGTGCCCTACTTAGACGGATGTAAACCGTGCCTAAGTGGCTGAAATTTGGCACGAACTGCGTCTGAGGTGGAGGACTGGTGTGCGCGATGGAATATAAGTCAGAAGAGAGACAAAATATTTTGTCAAGACTGCTTGATGCAGTTAAACAATGTCATATCAGGTAAAGTGTCTTATGGCCACATGCATGCTTTTATGTGAACTGCAGTTGAACACATCCACTTTTGACTTCAATCTTAGCAAATGCACTTGGCCTCCAAACATGCTAAGCAAATATACTTTGCCCTCAAACAGGCTAATTATGTCCAAATCCATGCATCCAAATGAACTGAACACTTGGAATGAATTTATCTGAACTGCTCCAGCCTGGCTGTGGTGACCTGAATGCATTGAAACTGATCCTTGCACCTAGGTTTGGTGGAAAAAAGGAGTTGGCAACCGACATGGACTCCCGCATAAGTTGTTTGTGCCAGCAGCTGGAGACAGTGCTTCAGCATGGCATGAAGCAGCCAGAGCCAAATGCATTCAGGTGGGTGGCAGAGCATTTAATATGTGAGAAGCCAGATATCATTTTGTTTGAAAATTGCAGATGATTTGGATGGATGCCTATCATAATAAAAAAGTGTCAAAAACCAGCAAAAAGAACATCTGCTAAATTTGTTTGCCACAGTTGCTATTCCAAACAAAGCATCACTTATTACATAGCAGAAACATGGAAAGAATCTATTTGATAATATTTATGGGCATTTTCAGGCAGGTGCGTGATGCTATTGCTCAGAATCTGAGCATAAACATAGGAACATCAGGACCATCTGCAGAAGCTCCTGGTGAGATTTTTAGTGTTGCAGACAAGCAACTAGCTTACACTATGGAGAGTGTTTAGGTGCTAAAGTGCTTCAAGTTTGTTTACTCATACTCATAATTAGAGAAATTGCTATTATGACTGCTCCCTGTGTAGTGCTGAACTCAGTGTTTTAGGCTGCAATGCACCCACACATGTGGATAACCAATGGGCTCCAACAGCATTTAGCCATCACACACTTGTAATTGGTCTGCAAAGCAGAATCCTTTGCATTGCTATGTCATTATGCCTGTGGACATGTACTGAGCTCTGCCCTGTCCCTGGCAGTGATGTGGCACTACGTGCGTCTCCACCTGACTCAGCACGAGTATGAGCGTTACCTGCTGCTGGTCAACATCAACACGGACGCTGGTCGCGGCCGTGCGTGGCTCCGCTCTGCTCTCAACGAGAGTTCGCTCGAGCGGTGGGCATCTGTGCTGGTTACAAAGCCACCAGCTACCGATGAGATTCTATCAGATTCACTATGGACTGATGTAATTTGTTGTTGGTAACCTAGACCAGCTGCCTGCTAGAGGGGCGGGTCGCCGACCAGCGGGACCCACTGTAGATTGGTGGGGCGCGCTGTGGGTGGATGGAGGTTAGTGGGACACGCTGTAGGCCGGTGGAGGTTGGTGGGGCGCGCCGTAAGCCGTTGGAGGTTGGTGGGACGCGCTGTAGGCTGGTGGAGGTTTATGGGATGCATTGTAGGCTGGTGGAGGTTGGTGGGACGCGCTGTAGGCTGTTGGAAGCGCTGTAGGCTGGTGGAAGCGCTGTAGGCCGTTGGAGGTTTGTGGGACACGCTGTTGGCCGGCGGAGGTTAGTGGGACACGCTGTAGGCCGTTGGAGGTTGGTGGAACGCTCTATGGGCGGGGGAGGCTGGTGGGACGTGCTATACGCCGGTGGAGGTTGTTGCGGCGTGCTGTAGGCCGGTGGAGGTTTGTGGGATGCGCTTTAGGCCGATGGAGGTTTGTGGGATGCGCTGTAGGCTGGTGGATGTTCGTGGGGCGCGCTGTAGACCGTTGGAGGTTTGTGGGATGCGCTGTAGACCGATGGAGGCTGGTGGGATGCGCTGTAGGCTGGTAGAATCCGCGGTAGACCGGCGGGACCTGCTTGACCGGTGGAACCTGCTCTAGGCTGGTGGAATCTGCTGTAGATCAGAGGATCCGATCACGTAGGCCACTGGGACCCACTGTAGACCACCGGTCACTGGCTTTCTTCCGTAGCCGCTCCGAGCCACGTGCAGCGGTGGTTGGATGCCATTCTCTCAGGACAACTGGCCGGATTAGTTGGTATGACTCGAATGAGGTCCAACGTTTCAGTAGGAAGCCACGGCAAAAACTCAGTTCAGCTATTCTGTGCAGCGAGTACATAAGCCATGTGTTGCTGCATTGCTGCAGTTTGTTATTCCTGTATAAAGATCTAACGTCCTCCCGATCATAGGCGTGTCCGAGAGGTGCATGTGATTCGTGGTCTCCCTTGCGACATACCTACAGCCCCACGAGGAAGTAACACGGAGGGACCCTGGGAATTGATCGTTGATCAAAAGACATCCTGTGTGCATGGGGAAGGTTCATGGAGAATGCCAGAAAACCTTTTGTAGCATATATTTGTGGTTCTGTAACTTAACATCAAGATGATTAGTAAGTCTTGATGGGTCCATCAGATCCTGTAGGGGAACTTTGATTGGGAAATTGTACTGGAGTTTAGAAGGGCAAATGCCCGTCTCCCGCTCCCTGTAAGGTCGTGAATTCGACCCTTTGTCGGACTACTGCAGTAATGGGGCGACCGAGTACATATGACGCCCCATCTTCGATCCGTCAGGTACATGCACGCGCTGATTGGTGACAAAGAGGGCATGGCCCAGTTCTATGAGCCCTGGGCTGTGATTGCCGACCAAGAACGAAACGCCATGCTGCCCAACATCGCCGCTGGTCAGTGACGCCGCCGACTGCTGCTGCGAGTCTGGGCATGACAGATGGGTCCCTGCAATGCCGCCGTTCTGATGATGGTCGTGGCCAGTGCTGCTCTCGCCCTAGATCACATCGCAGGTGCTGCGCAACTGACGCCGACTGATGTTTGGGGATTCCCAAGCCTGATTCCGTGATGTGGGGGACGCCTCGATCAATACACATGGTTATATCAACTATCGCTGGCGCGTGGGACGTGCTGTAATTATTTACCGTGGCACCGCTGGCTTCCCTTCTGTTAACTATCGGTATGCCTGTATAACTCAGCGGCCTCCCCCGTTTGACCTGACACTGGCCCTTGCCGCTGTGTCTGACCGGCTCTGGTCCGGCTCTCCCCTGCCGCGGTGTCTGGCACCGCCCCCTGCCGTGGTGTCTGACCCTGCTCTGGTCTGGCTCTCCCCTGCCGTTTGGCCTGAGGCCCGCCCCTGCCACGATGTCTGACACGGCTCTGGTCCGGCTCTCTCCTGCCGCGGTGTCTGACACCGCCCTCTGCCGTGGTGTCTGACTGCTCTGGTCTGGCTCCCTCCTGCCGTTTGGCCTGATACCGCCCCCTGCCGTGATGTCTGACACGGCTCTGGTCCGGCTCTCCCCTGCCGCGGTGTCTGACACCGCCCCTTGCCGTGGTGTCTGACCCTGCTCTGATCCGGCTCTCTCCTGCCGCGGTGTCTGACACCGCCCGCTGCCGTGGTGTCTGACCCTGCTCTGATCCGGCTCTCCTCTGCCGCGGTGTCTGACACCGCCCACTGCCGTGGTGTCTGACTGCTCTGGTTTGGCTCTCCCCTGCCGTTTGGCCTGACACCGCCCCCTGCCGTGATGTCTGACACGGCTCTGATCCAGCTCCCCTGCCGCGGTGTCTGACACCGCCCGCTGCCGTGGTGTCTGACGCTGCCGTCTGCTGACAGGCCTGAGCTCCATCCTGTTCGCCATCAGCATAGACCGTGAGGAGTTAAACGGTCACCGGCCGCGGGCCCGGGCGCGACCGGCCGAGCTCAGCGGCCCGGAGTCTGGCCGCGAGCCAGAGGCCGTCGTTAAGGCACACTCCGTCGGTAAGCGGCCGGGCAGCAGCGGCGGCCCGGCCTGGCTGCGGAGCTTGGCGCGATCTGTGCCGCCGGGCGGGCCTGATGTCATTTGGCGGGGAGAAGGCGCGTTCTCTGTGAACGTTATCTGATGTGGCGAGAGCAGTCTACCACTTTTTCCAAGGACTGTGTAACTTGGTCAGCGCCCACCTGACAGGGCTACAGCAGGTCTCGTCCGCGCCATCGGCCTCACGCGCCGGCCCTCGTCGTGCCCGGCCTCCGATGACGGCTGCTCCCCGCCGACAGAGGTGCGCTCTCGGCCGGCCGGTCGGCGCCGCCGCCGCCGCGTGCACGCTAACGTGGTGTCGCTGGACGGCGAGGTCGACCCGGATGCCTCGGCGCCGCGCTGGCGCTCGGCGCCCAGCACATGCGTGTCGTCACCGGCACCGACGGCCGGTGGTCACGCGTTCTCATTCGACGCCGCCGCCGAGCTGGAGGGCGACGGCAGCAGCCGGTCGGAGCACTCGCTGCCCGGCGCCAGCAGCGGGGAGGATGTCGGCAGGTGGGGCACACCGGGGCACGGACCAGGATGGTAGGACAGACTGGGGCACAGACCAGGCTGGTGGGGAAGACCGGGACACGGACCAGGCTGGTGGGGAAGACCGGGGCACGGACCAGGCTGGTGGGGCAGACCGGGACACGGACCAGGATGGTAGGACAGACTGGGGCACAGACCAGGCTGGTGGGGAAGACCGGGACACGGACCAGGCTGGTGGGGAAGACCGGGGCACGGACCAGGCTGGTGGGGCAGACCGGGACACGGACCAGTCTGGTGGGGAAGACCGGGGCACAGACCAGGGGCACGGACCAGGCTGGTGGGGCAGACCGGGACACGGACCAGGGGCACGGACCAGGCTGGTGGGACAGACCAGGGCACGGACCAGGCTGGTGATACAGACCGGGGCACGGACCAGGCTGGTGAGACAGACCGGGGCACGGACCAGGCTAGTGGGGCAGGCCGGGGCACGGACCAGGCTGGTGTGGCAGGCCGGGGCACGGACCAGGGGCACGGACCAGGCTGGTGGGACAGACCGGGGCACGGACCAGGGGCACGGACCAGGCTGGTGGGACAGACCGGGGCACGGACCAGGCTGGTGATACAGACCGGGGCACGGACCAGGCTGGTGAGACAGACCGGGGCACGGAGCAGCCAGGCTGGTGGGGCAGGCCGGGGCACGGACCAGGCTGGTGAGACAGACCGGGGCACGGACCAGGCTGGTGAGACAGACCGGGGCACGGACCTGGTGAGACATACCGGGGCACGGACCAGGCTGGTGAGACAGACCGGGGCACGGACCATGCTAGTGGGGCGGGCCGGGGCACGGATCAGGCTGGTGAGACAGACCGGGGCACGGACCAGGCTGGTGGGGCAGGCCGGGGCACGGACCAGACCGGCCACCATGGCAGCGGCCGCCGCCCGGTGTCGATGGGCTCGTTTGTTACGCTGTCGTGCGGCAGGGTCGTAGTTAGTTTCGCATAATAAGTGTGTGTGGGGGCGGGCGAGGGGAAGGCTGGATAAGAAAAGCGGGTAATTTTATTTGCAAAAATGCATAGCTAAGTGTTTCTCCCTGGTTTTGGCTCACTTTTTATCCGAAGATGTTGAGGAGCGGAGGAGGAGACTGGAATCTCTTCCCAGCGGAAGAGGAAGCTCTGACCCCTGTTGCGGGAACATTGCCTCGCGGAGCGGCGGCCTGATGTACCGCACGCCACATATGACCTGGTTAATATACGTGTCGGCTTCATTATAATTTCACGCGCTGATGTTATGACGCGATCAGCTTGTCGAGGGATTCGATTGCAATACTTGCATTGGACTTAAATATTTTGTTTTAGCGCGTTGCTCTAGAATATTTGCTTCCTTCCATGTAGCTTGGATTGGTAGTATTATTGCACGTCCCATGATTTGTACCATGTCAGTCTACACGAACAGCATGCATTAGTAGAGGCCAGCAACCCCCGCTATTACTGAAATATAAAAGTTTGAATGATGCGTGTCAAGCTCATTTCAAATGCGTCACATTTTCCGGAACCACGGACAGGTGGCCGCCTTACTTAAGTTAGCTTCATGACACAATGCTGATGAACGGCGTTGTGAACACTGGTGAACAGTGGAGATGTAGCGGCAGCTGCACTATCAGGAGCCGTGCTCGGAAAGTGACGTGCTATGATCCCGCTGGACGCAGGGTCGCGTTGCAGCTGGAAGCAAATGTCGGCTGTCGCATTTTGGATCCCAGCGGATAAGCGCCATATGAGGTTGCGCTGTATGGAGCAGCGACCGAGGCTGGAGGGGTAACGCTAGCCTGCGGCTACGCTAGGCTTAGAAAGGGAGGCGAGGTACCTCAGTATATGTGTCCCCGTGACCTGACTTTGTGCTGTTCACTGGCAGGCTGGAGGAGGGAGGCGAATGTCTTATCGGCAGCCTTGTGACCTGAACTTGTCCTGTTCACTGGCAGGTTGGAGGGGGAGGCGAGGTGTCTCATCGGCAGCCTTGTGACCTGAACTGGTCCTGTCCACTTGCAGGCTGGAGGAGGGAGGCGAGGTGTCTCATTGGCAGCCTTGTGACCTGAACTTGTCCTGTTCACTGGCAGGCTGGAGGAGGGAGGCGAGGTGTCTCATCGGCAGCCTTGTGACCTGAACTGGTCCTGTTCACTGGCAGGCTGGAGGAGGGAGGCGAGGTGTCTCATCGGCAGCCTTGTGACCTGAACTGGTCCTGTTCACTGGCAGGCTGGAGGAGGGAGGCAAGGTGTCTCATTGGCAGCATTGTGACCTGAACTGGTCCTGTTCACTGGCAGGCTGGAGGAGGGAGGCGAGGTGTCTCATTGGCAGCCTTGTGACCTGAACTTGTCCTGTTCACTGGCAGGCTGGAGGGGGAGGCGTGGTGTCTCATTGGCAGCCTTGTGACCTGGACTTGTCCTGTTCACTGGCAGGCTGGAGGGGGAGGCGTGGTGTCTCATCGGCAGCCTTGTGACCTGGACTTGTCCTGCTCACTGGCAGGCTGGAGGAGGGAGGCGAGATACCTCACCAGTTGCGGCCCTGCGACCCGGACGGCGGCGAGGCCTCCGCCCTGACCCCGCTGGACCAGTACAGCGCGTCACTTCTAGAGACGGTGGCAGTCACGGTTAGTAGGCGTGCCATGGCGGCGGCCCGGCCCCGCTACACCTCTGGAATCAGGACAGTGATCCGTGCGATGGGAGAAAGCTATTCCCTCGGTTGATTGGCTTTGCTGTCACAGCTACCAACAGACTTGTTTACTGGCAGGAGATCTGCAACGGTCGCGCGAGCCCTGTGGGCTCGGCTGAAGTGGAGAGAACGTCACCGTCTGCCCACCAGGCGGCGCTGGTGGCGTCCAGCGCGGCCGATCTGGCCTCGGTCGCCTCGCTCTCTGAGGGTAAGCCATTCGTAGCCGTTAGCCGGCCAGGTATGACCCAGCTGGAGAATGGATTAAATTTGGACCGGTATGGTGATGGCACAGAGGCAGGATGCCTGAATGTGGCAACATGTGGGCATTGCTCGCCCAGTTTTCTTTTGCTGGTCCGTTTGTTGCTGCGAACACGCGGTGGTAGATGACATTCGGAAGTGTTTTTAGTTTATAGCTAAAATGTAGCAAATTTGTAACGTATAGATCTAAATGAGCATTAGAGAGCCGTCCATCGCGTCCGGCCACGCTCAGAAGCGGCTTTCCCAGCGGGCGGACGCCGCGGGACCGCCTGCTGCCGGGCTGTCAGTCATTGTGAGTGTGCGCGCCGCCCGGCAGGTCAGCTGCGCGAGGCGCTGGTGGCGGTCAGCGAGCAGCGGTCGGCACTCGGAGACCAGGCGGGCGAGCTGCGCTCCCGGCTTGAGGCGGCGCTGCAGGAGAGCCAGCAGCTGAGGTCAGCCTGCCGCCGACTGTGCGGCGCCCACCGCCGGGGCGAGGGCGCTCGCGCACGCAGTGAGCCCTGGTGTTGTGTGATTCCGCTGTGCCTGCCGCCGGTCGCCGTCACCGTCACCGGACGTGTGATGTACTCGGCCCACTGACGTGTTGCAGGGAGGACGGTCTGGCGTCGAACGCCATGTGGAAGGAGAAGCTGGCGACACTGGAGAGTCGACGTCTCACATCGGAAAGGTGCGCGGGTTGGGGCGACCTCCGAGCCGGACCTGGGAGTGTTGGGTCGTAACTGCGCAGGCAGAGTCAAACTCAATCCTGGGGCTCGGCCGTGACCCCGATCAGACCACTTTAACTGCGCCCCGTAGCAGGAGTGCCGCCGGGTACGGGCTCCGACTGGCGTCGTTCCGTCGTGTGTGTTTGCCCCTGCTGTGTGGCCGCCGCGCCGGCCCGTGCACAGTGGTCCCCGGCGGGGCGCTGTGCCGCCGGAGGCGCGGCCGTGACCCACCGCCGGCCGTCGCCAGGGAGAACGTGATCCTGAAACACCAGCTGAAGAAGTACGTGAGCGCGGTGCAGCTGCTGCGGCACGGCTCGCCGCACGAGATCCTGGACCAGCTGCAGGAGGCGCACCGCTCCGAGGAGCTGCAGCAGCGGGGCCGGCGCACCGACTACCACGCCGAGGCCGAGGCCTACCAGCAGAAGCTGATACAGGTCAGACAGGGGCGAGACAGCCGGGCCGGAGCAAGCTCACGCGGGATAGTACAGTGACATGGGACGCCTCGCCGCCACATAGCCATCAAAGTCGTGCTATGAAGCATTGACTAGCGAAGGCCAGGGGCTCATCGACGGGGCTATAGTAAGAGATGGCGCAGATCTACAGGCGCCGGATCGTTGGCTCGCGTGAGCGCCGATCCCCACGTTTACGGAGGTTTACACGTATGCTACTAAAACGAAGTTTTTGTGCCATTCTCTGACCACTGCAAAAGATGGTTTTGTGGATTGTATATTCGTTGATGTTTTCATTCGTGACAAGCAGACTTTGGTCATTCCTTGTGCATTGGCAGGCCGCATAGTTTGTACCCCTGTGGCCCCAGTGAGCAGTTGACGGACTCCATTTGGAAAAAAAATTAGCTACCTGGCTTTATGAATATTTGGCTTGAGGTTAACTGCTGGTGGCGGTTTGCCTCGAGCTTCTTTGTCAACTTTTTATGTTTCTCTGTCACCGCCGTTGTGGTGTTGTGCTGACAACAAGCAACAAGGCGGTGTAGAGAAATGCTACGAAAAAGGTGAAGAAGAAAATCTGAGTGGACAAAAGATTATCAGAAATACGACTAGCAGACACCTGCTCTGGCGATGCTAATAACATTTTAGCTACTTTAAATTCAAATCTACGTGATTCCCTGTGGGGCCCCTCGAGGAAGATGGAAGGTCATTAGTGGGGGGCAGGAATATTGTCGATGCTCCTAGGAGGCAGTTTTTCATAGGTTTGACGATGATTGAGAGTATGGTAAGGGATAGCTTGAAGGAAATCAAGATTAATTAGGCGGCTGGACCTGACCACATTCATGGTAGAGTGGTGAATCAATGCGTTAGTGCGTTGGCTTATTCTCTTATACCGGTATTTAATAGGTCATTGAGTTCCTCACAAGTACCCAAGGACTGGCGCCATGCGCATGCAGTACCGGTATTTAAGAAGGGGACCAAAAAAGTGACTGCAACTGCAGGCCTGTCAGTCTTACCCCACTGGTGTGTTAGATCTGAGAGAAAGTCAGTGAGGCTATCATTCAGTCACACTCAGGCATCAGCTAATAAATGGGAGTCAGGATGGTTTTCTTTCCGGTGGGCCATGTTTGACAAATCGTGTAGAAATATTGGAGCATGTTACTAGTGAGATAGGCGAAGGCAATAGTTTGGATGTTGTTGATCGAGCTTTTGGTAAGGTGTTTGATAAAGTGCCGCACCAGCGTCTGCTATATCAGTTAAACTTGCATGGCGTCAAGGGGAAACAAAGAACAGTGCCCATTGGCACTTATCTCAGTGGGAGCTTTTAGAGAGTGGGATCCCACAGGGGTCGATATTGGGCTCTTTGCTCTTTATTATTTTTGTGAACAATATCGAGATAGGATTAGAAAGTAAGGCTCTTAAATTTACTGACGACGGCAAAATGGTAGGGGTGTCGAAAAGTCCCGACCAGGTGAAACTTGACTTAGAGAAACTAGTGAACTGGGCTTCTCTGTGGTAGATTTCATCAATTTATGGTAAGTGTAAGGTGATGTATTTGGGTAGTTCTGGCAGTGAGGACGTAAACTACAAAATGGGAGGCCAGGAGGTGGACCAGGTGGAGGAAAAAAAGAACTCAGAGGTTATAATTTCCAGGGATTTAAATGCTGAAAAGCAATATGGGGCTGCTAGGAGCAAGACACTTCGAATGCTGGGATTTATGAACGGGAATGTCCATTACAAGAGAAGGAATGTTATCAACAAGTCGTGCTTGGTTGATATCAGACCACATCTAGAGAATTGTGTACAGGCGTGGTCCCCATACTTCCAATAAGCTATAGAGAGGCTGGAAAGATGACAGCGAGAAGCAGCTAGGATTATAAATGGAATCAGCTTAGAATGTCCGGAAAGGCTTAAGGGCTTAAATTTATATTCTCTGAAATCTCGTAGACTTAGAGAGGATCTCATAGAGGTATTCAAGATTATGTAAGGGATAGACAAGGTAGATACACAAGGAGCACAGGAAATTAGGCGGAGATTTAGAGGGAACCAGTTTCAATAAGCAAAGGTCGGAGTAGATTTAGAAGCAGGCAGATGTAATTTAGTGAAAGAGCAGTGGATCACTGGAATGCACTGTCGAACGGATGTGTAGTAAGTTCCTCTTTATCAACATTTCAGAGTTGTTTCGACAAGTTTTTTCGGTCGGGGGATCTCATTTATAGCTAAATTCTGGCAGATCGTATGGTAATATTGGGGTTCGAGCATGTGTGCAGACTAGGTAGGCGCATCTGGATGAGCCCTTGGACTCGTTGTTAGCCTGATGTCTCCATTTTTATATGTGCTACCCCGGTCCACTGTCCGCCATTGTCTCGCCGGCCACTGATGGACTTCCGCCGCCGGCCGCCAGGTGGCGGAGATGCACGGCGAGCTGATGGAGTTCAACGACCGGCTGCGCGGTCAGCTGACGCGGCGTGAGCGCCAGCTGGCGGCGCTGCGGGCTGAGCTGGCCGAGTGTGGCCTGAGCGACGACGAGGCGTCGGAGCCGGCTGAGCCGGGCGGCGAGCATGCGCCGCCGCCGCCGCCGCCGCCGCCGCGCGTTCACTGCTGGATACCGTCGGCCTTTCTCAGCGGCACAGGCAACGGTGCCCATCACGTGTACCAGGTCAGGGGGTCGGCACGGTGCTGCGGCGCATTCATGGGTGAGGGGAGGCAGGACTGTGCTGTGTGGCATGTACCAAGTCAGGGTGGAGGGGAAAAGTGACAGGACACATCACTTGTATCACGTCAGGGGAAGGGAGGGCGGGAGGGAACGGAGCGGAGCGGAGCACTTCGCAGCCACCAGTTGGGGGGAGGGGAGGGGGGGGGGGGGGAGCAGTGGAGCAGCAGAGCACAGAGGATAGTAGTGGTGTGGACATTGGAGACTTCATGTGTGTCGCAGATTTGTTGTGACGATCCTGTACTTCAACAGCGATTTGTCTTATGTCAGCTCTTGTCATGTGATCTTGTGTCTCAGGTTTATGTCCGAATACGAGATGAAGAGTGGAACATATATCACCGGTATTCCAGTTTTTTCCTTTTGTATAGCAAGATGAAGAAAGATTTTACGGAGGTCAGGGAGTTCGACTTCCCTCCCAAGAAAGCATTGAATAAAAAGGTTAGTATTGTTTGTGGACCAAAGCACTGCGTGAAACCAAATAGTCGACTTTCATGTGAGATCGCGATGGCCTGACCTCGTGTCCATCTCAGGTAAACGTCCGTTCCCTGCGGCACTCCGCAAGGCGTAGTGTGCCTCCATATTGTGCGTATTCTGGTGACCTGACAGAACGCCTCTCACGTGATCGCACATCAGTTACGGCATCGTCGTGTGATGCGCCGTGGACGCCGTTCGTTCGTGACGCTGTCCTATGACGACCTTCCCTGGGAACTGGACTCTGTCGGCCGGCCGTGGCCGGTCCGCTGATACGTGCCGTCCTGTGAGGGCCTCCCCTGAGAGCTGGGCTCTGTCGGCCCGCCGTGGCCGGCCCGCTGACGCAGGCCGCCGACGCCGGCAGGACGGCCGGCTGGTGGAGACGCGGCGCCGCCGGCTACAGGAGTTCCTCCGCTGCGTGACGCGCGCGCTGCTGGCGGCGCGGCCCGAGTTGGCGCGCAGCCCGTCCCGCGCCGCGCTGGTCGCCGCCGAGCCGTTCTTCGGCGCGCCGGCCGGCGGTGAGGCGGTGGCCGGCTCCCGACTGCGGCTGTTCGGTCGGGCGGCCACGGCGCCGCCGGCCGGACCCCGCTACACTGGGCTGTGAGGGGCTGATGCCGCCGCCTGCGGGCCGATACTAGGTGCTGCTAGACCGGGAAGGGCGTGCACGCTGGATTGTGAGCCGGTGGCTATAACGACTGTCACGGAAAGGGCTGAGCTACAGCAAGCCTTCAGTTGCGGGCAGAAAAGCTTTATTGCTTTGTCCTGTACTCTATTATAGTTATTTTCTGCTGATGTATTGCAGGTCGATTATGGTAATCATTTAATGCAAGTCGTTTTGAAAACCTAGAGCATGCCTTCTTACTCAGTTCGCGGTGCACCATACCAAATGGTGTTGGTTAGCAGACGGCGCAGTGGCCTACCAAGCTGTCGTCATTGTGGGCCGTCATTGTTGGTGGTCATTGTGGGCCGCTCCGTCTGCCGCCGGCCGGCGAACGGAGCGGCCCGTTATGCGCTGGGCGTGCTGTGAGGCTGGGTAATGCGTGTGCTGGGGAGGAGGTAGGAGAGGGGTGGGGGGGGGGGGAGGGGGGGGGGGGCGTGTCCTCTTTGGTAACCGGTGCCGCGTGGACGTTAGAACAGCTGTGACCGTTCGCTGGGGCCTTTGGCCTCGCGTCCCGACCGCGTGCTTCCAGTCTGCAGAGAACACTGTGTCGTGCACGGGTATTGGTCGTGTTTCGGAGTGTTTGCGCACCGCGAACTCGAATCACCTTGTGCTCGATGAAGATTTTCGTAGCCGTCGCACCAGCTGCCTGTAGTGTTGTTAAATCTAGTCTATTATTGTGGTCCCCGGGCCGGCCCAGGTTTAAGCTTGCATGCTCCAGAATTAGGTGCATGTGGGTATTACGACATATGAAAACCGGCGTAAGTCAGCGAGTGTATTGCATTTGCTGCTGTTGTGTCGCTGGCTTCGTGACGCAGCTAGCTGTATTTTTCGCGGCGTGAAGCCGTCAGTTGATCCATTCCTTTATGGCGTGATATATCCAAACTGCTTCTTAGTACGCTAACTCAATTATGGAGTCGGCATAGAAAGATGGGAAGATTTTCGGTGCGAAATTACGTAAGCTGTTCAGTGCATTAGCGAGAAACATTATTCACATAGATAAACCAGAAGTATTAGCTTATTCCACAGGGAAAAACCAGGAGAATGGAAATGTAGTTGGAGTGATATTTCGACAACACGCCTTTATCGATACAATAGCAGAAGTGAATTCCAAAATTGCCTGCCGATGATCCTACTCGATTTTTCAGTTGTTTTTTTATAACAGCAAGCCACAGTTTTTACATGACACCTACATTCAAGGAATTAAACAAAGAGCGGTTGTCAGTCATTACCACGATACAGTGTCTATCTTAGAATTAGAGTGCGCGAACATACGTGTACACGCGAACAAATGCGAGCAAGAAGGCGTCACGCTTTATTCAAACATGCAAGCGGGTTCAAGTAAACAGCCATCACACATCGCGCATCAATTATACATGCAAGCGATTTCAGTTGAAGACATCGCACATCACGCGTCAGTCATCACCTGCCCATGTAAACGATTTGAGGCTGGCACACAGCACACAAACGCATCTATCACGTTCGCATAATCGGCATGATTAGCCCTGCATGTTAAGGTTTGGCCCCCGACTTTTTATAAGAATAGTGTCACTTATTTTCTCGTCTGGGTGGTCCTGTGCTCTGAAGATGATGACAAATTAAGTGTAAACTGTGTTAAAAACATGGAAGGGACAGAGTGTATGACGAGGTGTCCATGCGTCCCATTCTTTTGAGATATAATGAACACCTGCGAGACGCTGAAAACAAAACAGGGAATGCCCCTTTCGGTGACCGCTTTTTGGCAAAACACGCTCAGGCTAAAATCGAGGGAGGCATGGATTCTATGCCCCCTTTAGAGCTCAAAGTGATGTACAAAGCACAGGACCACCCAGACAGGAAAATAAGTGAATCTTTTCTCATAAAAAGTCGGCAACCAAATCTCAACTAACAGTGCTCATCATCGCCGATTATGCGAATGTGATATGTGCCTTTATGTGTGATGTGTGCTAGCCTAAAATAGTTAACATGTGTAAGTGGTGCCTGACGGGTGATGTGCGATGCCTGTTTAATTGAAATCGCTTGCATGTATAATTGATGCGCGATGTGTGATGTCTGTTTACTTCAACTCGCTTGCATGTTTGAATGAAGCATGATGCCCATCTGCTTGAATTTGTTTGCGTGTACACGTGTGTTCGCGCATTCTAATTCTTAGGCAGGCACTGTATCGTGGTAATGACTGGCGGTCGCTATTTGTTTAATCCCCTGAATGTTGGTGTCCCGTAAAAACTGTGGCTTGCTGTTAAAAAAAACTGAAAAATCGAGTAGGATCATCGGCAGACAATTTTGAATTCACTTCTGCCCTTCTTTCGATAAAGGCATGTTGCCGAAATATCAAACAAAATACATATCCACTGTCCTGGTTTTTCTCCGATGAATAAGGCTAATACTAATGTCTTATCTAGGTGCGAAATTTACACTTTGCTTCCTCCGTGCAAAAAAATGTAGCCGCAGTCTCGCCCCTCAGGGATACTGAAGCGTATCCTGTCTGGTCCATTGATAGTGGATGGAAACTGACAAGGGTTTGTTCGGTTGACAATGATGGACAGCTGGCCGCATTAGAGGCCCGCATGGCGCGGATTTCGTCGAGCTGTTGAACCGTTTATATCATTGTTGCCATTTTGTTCTGTTTTGTTCTCGATTGAGTTACAAATCTAATTTCTGTCCCCGAATCGCTGCTAGAATGTTTGGTGATGTGTGTTATGACTGTTTGTACCCAGAGATCGAATTTTGTGGAAGTCACCGTGGGAAGGCGTGTCGGAATTTCAGTTGAATTTTCGGACGCAAAATTATTGTTTAAAATCCATTAGTGTCAGGCACACGCTTTTCCTCCGTGGGTGTGATATCGGTGGTGTCTGCAACGTAAGAAGAGAAGCGGGGCTTTGAGTTTCGCTGGGATTTTGTACTTAATCTAAGGAAATGACACGTGTTTATCGTAGCAGACGCTTGCACTTTTATATCTATATTCGCCTCCGGTTACCTCTACTGGGACCGGCATTACATTGAGTCATTCTGCAGCCATTCGGTTTTTGAGCCGGCTGAGCCGGCGTCTGCATTGAAACAGGTCAACTCGGAGGGCAAATTCCGGGAGGGGTTTCAGGCATCGGTGTAGAGCGCGAAGGGGTTTTGCTCTGGATCCTGCACTGGAGCGGGGGTGTCCTCTTGCGGCGAGGCCCGGGACGAAATGTGATCTGTATATCTGCCTCCCCGGATGACGCTCCCAGCGGGCCGGCGGCCGGCCGCAGCGCGCACATCACGTTCTCGGTATGCATCATGGACGTGAGCGCACGAGCGGTGCGTCAATAGCAGTATTGCGTCTTGCGTCGGTTTTGATAGTTTTATCAGCGGGAACGGACCGATAGCTTAGAACACATACAACATGTTCTCATGTACCTGACCGTGGGTGTTTTCACGCGTGACCACTTTTGTTTGCCAAGCCCATGGGTTTTGTGGAGTGGAGTGGTACCCGTACGCTGAGGTTCTGTACTGGGTTTGTGAAAGCTGTTGGCGCCCGCTTGCCTTTCATAGGGCCGATTTTGTATTGCTGGATTCATTAAGCTGCTTAAATGTGGCCAACTGCGCTGGGATGTCCAGTCCCCGGCAGAAGTGCACACCGATCCGGACTCCCTGCATGTTTTTGCTCTCTGGTTCCGCGTGTTACTCTTCGGCTCGTGAGGTAGACTGAACTGGACGATGTAGCGCATATCCATGGCTGGCCGTCGCCGGGCCGCGGCTGCTGAACCGAGAGGTACGGCACAGCGGCGGCCCCAGTGTCTGATGGCATATCTCGCTGTGATTACCCCACCCATGTTTATCTCAGTGTGTTGCTCAACAGGTTATGCTCCCCAAATACACGTGATCTGTAACGCTGTGCTCGGTTTCCTTTGTGTTGCGATTGATTACAGGGCAAAATAGTGATGCGCTTAACGTCGTCAAAGATGGACCGCAAAATATAGTCACGCAGTGGCAACATTCAACACATCGTCTACTCAAAATATCGATACCGCAGGGTATCGTCAAGAATATCGTCGCCTCAGAATATCGATAATGCAGCGTGTCGTCAAGATTATCGTCGCCCGAAGTATCCGCTCTGCAATGTATTGAAACACAAAATATAGACTCTTAAAATACCCATACGCAAAATGTGGGCCTGCGAATCGTGGATTTTAATTTTTGGGACAATGACTTCGATACCTGTTATATAAAAATGTTGCAACTGTGGTATTGAAACGCTGCCATATCTGATGAAGTATTTATGATGCCGCTCAGCGTGCTGCTCGCACCAAAATGAAAATAAGTAAACACACCAAATTTACCAAGTTCAACATAAAGCGTGCCGCCTGGTCTTGAACTGCTTGCCTGTCAGTGTGTGCAACTGCGCAGTGCGCGGTGTGTCATCGGCATGTTTCGTTTGTCTCTGGCGTGGTTTTAAACGAAATGAGGTAATCTGGCAGCTCCTGTCAATCTAGCAGCGGAGTTAAAAACGATGCAGCTGTGTGTGCTGAGTGCAGCAACCGGCAGCTGTGGAACTGCGAACATTTGCTCCAAGGGTCGGCTCCATTCTGTGATCCGTTGCCAGGGCGCTTGGCATAATGCCAAGGCTCTAAAGCGTCATGCCATGCCTCCATGTGCGCCATTCCACGTCTTTGAGGACGGCATACCACGCATCAATAGGAAGCATGGCTTTTCATTAACATGACAAGTGCGAAGGGAACTGCTCCGTACTCGGCCAGATTTCCCCACGCTGCCGCATACCACAGAGCTCGGGTGGGGCTGGGAGTCAACTGACCCGCCTGAAATGTAAGAAACTAATAGGGCTAGAGACACCGAACTTAGCGTGTACACAGAGCTCAATGTAAACTCGTTTATGCAAAAGTTTGATATTCCGACGTCGTGACCGTCGCATCAAATAAGGTCAAACTCCTGATTGGTATTCGAAGAGCTTTCAGACCTCATATAATCATCTTTAACCTATATGTCTCTTAAAAGCAAAAGTTCATCGGTGTTCACGTGAGGCAAGTGACCTTTGACCTTAGGAAGGCAAAAATGGTCCAAATCCATCAAAATTGTTAAGATTATTTGAGTGTACAATCCGCTCCAAGTAATAACCTATGCGACTTACTGAAAGGAGCAGGTTGTTCGAGGTCCCTTTACGTCAGTAACGTCCCCAGCCTTTCACGAAGTCGAAATAAGTCACGTGTTTGGCGTCCTTGTGAACCAGGAATTCGAAATGAGCGTTTTAACCTATTCCACTAGCAAGCTGTCTTGTAATGAACCGATTTGGTTTTGACCTTGATCTGAGATTCGCACCTGAATCAATGTCAATGGGAATAGTCGTAATCACGATTGCCAGCGTCTTATTGTATGACAGACCACATAAAAAACGCATGACTTCGTCTAACACTCCGACGTTACATTGTATTGAACGATTCTCTAGACATTACCGTCTCTGACAGCAATGGCCTGGCCCGGACCTGCTATTGTTCATCGACCTTACGAGGTATATCTAATTTTGATGTTAAAAGAACGGGTAACGCATCGCTTAAAAATATGCAGCGTTTTGCTCGGGTACGTCGCGCCATTCCGAAATTGTTCCGAAAAACCTTTGGGAGGGTTAGACATATTGACCCCAATCCGAGCGCGGGTCAATCTCTCTCATTTTGACACGGCTTTTGAAAGCTTGCTGAGTGGAATTTTTGGATACGTCTCACGGCAAAACGGCATGTGACGGCTACGGGGACCGGGAAGCGAGCCGTGGCCCAAAGGAACCTCACCCGTACTGGTATGAGGCATATCCGAGCCTGGGACGTGCACGAACTTTGCTCAGAAAAGTGGCCACCACTACCTGGTTCTTCGAATCGAGGAATCATAGGTCGCGGCCGTGGCCGAGAAACTCTCTGCATGATTCACTACAGGCAAGACGATTTCAGGCATTACACTGAAGCAAGGCAACTGACCAGTGACACAGTATCAGCTGCCCAGCGACGGTGGGCGAGTCGTTCCGGTGATTCGGAATCACCAGGAACTGCCGACTTGAGACGGTTGCCAACACCACTCCATCGTTTACGTCGTTCAAGCTATGCTGTCCTTACGAGCACATCGGCGTTCGATTTTAGCTTCTAATGTAAATGGATGTCTTGTCAGGGCAGGCCAAAACTAGCCATTTAGAAAGTGTCCGGCGCTGTAGGCGCGAATCATTTTCCTACCGGAGCAAGTGGCGTTGAAAAAGACACAGCTATACTATTCTATGTTGGAAACCTGTTGGCACAACACATAACTTGTTCCGTCGTAGGTCACCCTGCATTGTGCCGTACACGGAAACCTCTGTGCCTGGCAGGCTGGAAACCTGTTTGTAAGGATGTTAAGTTTCGTCAATATTTATATTGCCGATATTTTGTGATGTAGATAAATCATAATGTCTTTATCGTGCGTGTCAATGTTAAGCAGAGCCGATCTTTTGTTTGTAAATATCTTAGATGACATTATTGTGCTGTGCTGATATTTTAGCCTCATTATTTTGTAATGTCGATATTTTGCTCAGTCGATATTTTCCTGCCGATGTTTTGCGTTGATCTCAGGCTGTCTATCAACGCCGGGTCCATATTTTGTCCCGATACCGTTGCGGCTGGGCGACTGTGAACGCACCAGTAATCGTGATAGAAGAAAGTGCAGAATAACATTTCGGTTTTGCTGCGCCGATGAATGCCCTGTTCACGATACAGACGTCTACGTCTGGCGCCTCAGCGCACCTGTCTCGCCTAAGTACGCGGTCGGGTGGGGGTCTGACGCCTCAGCGCGCCTGTCTCGCCTTAGCACGCGGTCGGGTGGGGTTAAATTGACCGCTCAAAGGTTTTTCCAGAATGGTTTCCGAACGGCGTAGCGTAGTCGCGCCAAATTTTGCATGGCTGTAGACAATTGCATAGCGGATCATCTAGCATCAAAAATTTAGATGCACCTTGTAAGGCCACTGACCTATGGCAGGTCAAAGTCAGGCCATGGTTTCAGCGAAGGCCATTCCTCGAGAATCCTTCAATCTGATCCAACAACGGAGTGTTAGACGAAGTCATACATCGCTGGAACACCTTATTAGGCCATGCAGCAATCGAGTGAACAAGTTACTTTGACTAAGTGTCAGGCATTAAAGTCGGTCCAAGGACAAAACAAACCTGTTATATTATTCTAAGGCTTGCTATGTGGGGTAGTTTCTAGTGATTATTTAAAATGTATTGATAACAGAAACTGCATTATACACCTTCCATGGACTTCTTAAAGATCAGAATAGGTCACTGACATAAAACGACTCAGGTCAGCATTTTGTTTTAGGAGCATACTGACTAGCGTAATATTCGTTGCTCATTCAAATGTAAAAAATGCAAAGCAGTCCTGTATGATTTTGGTAAGCATGAGCTTCAAAAGGTCGGTCAAGGCCACTGACCTTAAATGAGCATGTGACGTTCTGCTTAAAACAGTTATCTAGGTTCTAGGGGCCCTTTTGAAGACCAGCCTGGATTTGACCTTGTTTGACCTTATTTGACCGGAAGGTCATGACCTAGGAACCTCAAACTTTGACGTAAGAGTGAGTCCACGTACGGTCAATACACCCCGTTAATTTGGTGTATCTAGCTCTCTTAGTACTTGCGATCTCAGGTGGGTCAAATTAACCCCCACCCGAGCGAAGAGTATCCAACCGGCCACCCGGGCGCGTGTTGAACTTATTTTACTGACGCGCACGTCCGCGTACGCATGCCTGTCCACAATTCCTTCTTGCATGCTCGGTCTGCTTTCCATTCACAATACTTCTTCCCTTCTTGCTCTTCTGTGCACATCAAAACAAAACGTCCGCCACTTTATGTTAAGGTTTTGGAATATGCATCGCCAAGGAGAGGCTCTAATTAAAGTTTTGGAATATCCATGCCACCGCGAAAGACAAGCTCTCATTAATGCATACCGTTTATATAATATGCAATAAAGGTTTACACGGATGAACCTTTCATAGCTAACATCATCTAAGCAGACATGCACGTCATAGCGCCGGAAACATGTTTATCATAGTATAACATAAATGCGTTGCAACGTAAATAGAGCAGAATAAACTTGTTCGTTTAGTATCACAAAAGAGTGACAGCTGCAGCTAAAGACAAGACTCCTTCGTTTAGTACCACAACGGAGTAACAGTTACATTTAAACGCAAGCAAAAGGCGGTTCGTCAAACAGTTTTCAAGTCAGTGATCATTATGAAAACGGCTCTTTCACTTGGCCGCATCCGGACGTGTAGCAATGGGTGTGTTTCACGACCAAAGCGTATCAGTGTATAGATGCATATAAAACACAAGAAATCATTCGATATCATCAAACAAGTCATTGTGAAGCCACCCATAGATCCTTCATACTTGGATCTCGTGATAGGGAACGAAAAGGTGATGCAACCTAGACGTTACTGCTACCAATCATGCGGAAAACGCACCGGTGGATTAGACATACCGTACACAGGTCACTCGACTCGTGCCTCTATACGACTGCAGACTTGCTTCCTACAACCTGGGAACGCTAAGACTGCACTGACCGGACGGAACAGCCGAAGCAGTTCGATTTAACACGATTACGCTTCTTACGAGCGACTGCATATGAAGACCATGGGAGTCCGTGATGGGCGGTCGGAGACTACCATTGAACAGCGCCGCGCCGCCCACCCCAGATGCTTTATCGACTGCGACTCACTCCACACAGCTGCTCTGCTCTCTCGGGCCGGTACGCTCATAGCACGAGGCGGCGCGCGACACCAGCGCGACCTCCCTCCACCCTACCGCCGAGGCTGGATGGTGCAGGGCGCATGGTCGTAGACGGCGGGCACGGCCGAGCATCTGTACACCTGGCGGAACTTGGCGTGGTTGTACACGGCCGAGTTCACCCTGCAACGGAGCAGCGCGACGCGGCTCAGTAGCGGCTGCGACGACGGTGACCTGCCGCGTGCACGGCGAAGGCACGCGATGGTGCCGTGGGGCGCGCGATGGCAGGACGAGGGCGCACGATGGCGCGGTGGTTAGGGCGCATAATGGCACGATGAGCGAGCACGATGGCACGGTGGGGGGGGGGGGGGAGGGCGCACGGCGTCACGTGCCGAACTAGATGAGGGGTTGGTGATGACGCGGCCCTCGGCGCCGGCCTCTCCCGCTCCCTGTGATATAATGAGTATGACGTGGCTGATTTCACCACGTGCAAATGGATGCGCTTAGTGTGGTAAAGGACTGATAATTCTGGCACCAGCACATGCCAGAAACAGCCAAGGAGAGCCGTCATGAAAATCGAAAGCCTGCTCACATTAGGCAAACATCGCCGGAACACGTCTGATCTGGAGGGATCGGTTAAAAAGCGGGAGGGGGGGGGGGGCGGGGGGGGGGGGGGGGGGTGGCGCACCGGGATATGAGTCAGCCATCTGCAAGCAAAGTGGTCGGACCCCCGGGAGCGGACCGGTGACACTCGAGGCAGGATTCGCATGCTGCTGCTGCGCACAGACGGCACCCTTTCGTCCGGACGCGGCGCAGAGTTGACGGCTGAAGCTTACGTTGGGGGGAAGTCATCCGCGGTAGTATATGTCACTCGGATCCGAAAATTTACGAGGAGTTGCATTAAATGTGTGCAAGGGGCTCCTCGTAAACATAATTTTGACCAACATCAATATGTTTATCAGAAGTATGTTTACAACAGCGATGAAAGAGCTTGAAGGTTCGAAGTTTTCAGAGGGCATCACCTGGTCGTGGTCGACTACATGGGCTATGAAGTTACCGTAGTTGCTGAGTACTCACTGCAGATCCTCCGGTATAATGCCCGCCAGGCGATGCAGGAGGTAATTGGTACTGCCAGACCGCTTGGTGGAGCAGCGAGCCTGCCAACGGAAGCCGTTTCATCACCAAAACAGTGGCAGGTCGGTGAGCATCACACGACTCTTGGAACGGTACCGAGCACGGCAGCGACTACCAACACACCGGAATACCGCCGTTGGTCCGGGCCACGCGCACTGCGGCGACCTCTGCAGCGAATCTTCTACACATCTTACATTTCATCCAGAAGTCTATGGGGCGTGCCCTGCTCCCATTTCGGTTGTCCTGAGGTCACAACCAAAGCGAGGAAGACAGCGACATGAACTTTCAGTGCTTTCAGAGGAACACCTAAGATAAGTTGCATTGAAACACCAAGCTCAGTAGCCAAATCCTGGGCATTGGTGAGTTAATGAAACCGATATGCAGTATTTTTCTGCCGCCTAATATATTGTGTCCTTATACAATCCACTCGGATCGAAACACAAGATGAGTTCAAAAAATGTACAGGCAGGAAGCCAGAAGGCATTTTCCCAACAGTTTGTCTGAATACTCTATTTTGGGTATCTGTAGGTGACGATATTTAAAAGACACCATTTTGTTTTACTCGTTACGAATATACGCAGGCTTGAATTGCAAAAAGGAAGTGATGCAGTCAGTTTATTAGACGCTTACCAGAGTGCAGCTAATGAGCATGCATCCTCTCACAAAATGTCTTAAGGACAATTTTGTTTCATGGTCTAACACGACCTTATTTGACCTCAGCCCCAAACAAGATAACCTCCATGACCTCCTTGAGCTTGTCTTTCCAAACCATGATCTCCTTGCGCTCGTCTTTGACGTCTTTCGCCTTAGTCAGTCAACGTCGGTACACGCGTGTGCAACCCAGTCGAGCCTATCGTTCAGCATGTCTCTCTCCATCGCTCGGCTGTATCAGTGTAGAAAGCGGTGTGGCAGACATGGCGCAACCGCACCATGTTTCATTACAGGGCATATTCCACATTAGAAGGGTCACCGGAAGTCGTCCTCACGAACGCCAGATATGAACGCCGCGACAGTGCTATGTTTCTTGGCCTTAATTGCCGCGGGGGTTATGGCATGGCGGTATTTGAATGATGTTACTACGACGTCATGAATACTAAGGTGACTTTGAAATACTCTCCCCTACATACCTTCCCCTTTTCACAGGCGTGTACCTCAGAAACTAGAGATGCTTAGGTCTTAGGAAGGGCAGGACAGTGAATAACACCGGAAGGTCTTCGAGAAGGTTATTTCAGTTCAAAACCCCACATAAATGTGGAACACTTCGTTTCAGATCAGCACGGTGAAAGCAGCCGTGCAACACCAGCTTTCCTCTCCTTTACACTCTCCGCCTCCATGGCCGGCGCCCGTGCCTGCGCGAAGGCGAGGAAGAATGTCTGGTCGCTGGTCTCGTGCCGTAGGCCGGGTAGCCGGACGGGTCGGTCGGAGAGGGCCTTCACGCGCCGGTGCTCAGCGTACGCTACGCCCAGGGCGTAGTGCTGGCTGACGAGCGCGGCGGCGTTACGCTCCGGTCGCAGCTGCATCTGTTGAGCCAGCCGCTGTGTCATGACCTCACTGGTGTCGTGCTGGCTGGACACGCACCCGGCGCATGCGGGCGTGTGGCGCGAGCTTCGACGTGACAGTTCAACTCCCATTTCTACACACATTTAGAAAGCTAATATGGAATCAATGTTCTTGAGCGTCGGTGTATTTAATTTCCCGGTGCTATGAACCTTATCAGTCTCCTCGCACCGCCACCTGTGGGGAATGGCCGACTCGCGGCGGCGGCGGCGCTTTAGTGTCGGCGGCCTGGCGTACCTGCGGCACGTTGGTGTAGGCGACGCTCGGCCGGAGCGTGTGGTTCCTGTACAGGTCCAGCACGCAGCCGCGGTACGGGTGGTAGCGTTCGTACGTGGCGCTGTCCCACCAGACCCGGTCCAGGATCTGCGACTCTGTGACAGGACAGCACAGCTCTGGCAGCAGTCGCTGCTGGGCGCGGAGGTGCGCACGCGCCACCGCCACGCCGTTCCTGAGGCCGCTGTGTCAGCTGACGTCTGATGGACCGACGCCGCCGGGGTGGCCGTCACAAGGTCAGTGCGTGGGAGGCGGACATGGACATTCACAGATCGTGGTCGTGATGACGAATGAGTGCAAACCGTTAGATGTCGAGGGCCCTGAAGTTCAACCAGCATTCAGTGTAGTGTTATCGCGTGGTGAACAGACACAAGTGATGGTCTGCCACTACCAACCTCGTTGATGTCGGCATGTTGACGTCTCAATATCGTTGATCGGGCATCTCACCATTGTTGGTCCGGCCTGGTGTCTCACTATCGTTGGTCGGGCATCTCACCACTGGTGGTCTAGTGGGTGACACCATGTGGGTGTATCACCACTGCAGTTCTCACCTCTCACAACTGTCAGTCTGACACTAGGTTTGCCCGACATCTCGTCATTATTCATCCTGCATATCACTGCTGTTGCATAACATTTCACGATTGTTAGCCTGACGTCTCACCAATGCTGACATGCTCGGTATCTATGGCATCTTCTCACGCTGGTCTAACGCATCACCACTCACTGTGGGTCCAGCCTGGTGTCTCACCATTGTCCATGTGACGCCTGCCATGGTTGGTCTATCTTACCATTGTCTGTCTTGGAGTCCCATCATTTGTTGGTCTGACTAGTCGTCATAGGTCGAGCGCAGTGACGTTTATGACGTTTCGCCATTGTCGGTACGCACCATTAAACGCTGGTCTGACCTGACGTCTTACCGTTGTTGGTGACCGTAAACAACGACAGATGCGTGCCGACCAACGTCCCCAGCGCCCCTGAGTTCACGTAGTGGGGTATTTGAGGAGAGAATATCGGACTTCGCATCATGCCGGCCGGCACTGCCAGATAGTTGCCGGATGTTGAGCTCAAAATCTGGGCACTGGAAGCACAACAATACCGTTAGAGAAGCGACCACGGCCAGACCCGCCCAATTCGGAGTTTAAGCGTTCCGACAGTCCGATTTGTGTGACGTTGTGCTCAGAGTCAGGTGGTTCAACACTCTGGGCAAATGGACTGACGTTCCGATCAGGTATTCTTAAACCACCCATAGACGACAGGGGGTATTGCAGCGTCATTGTGAGACATTACGCTCCCAGGGCTGAATAAGGCTAGATACATATAAGGTATCCATGGACTGTCTTTGCGATTATGAACAAGATGAGCATAGGTAATGTTCTGCGGCTGGGATCAAGGTCACATTCATGCCACATGATATCAACTATTCTGTTCTGGTTTGCAAAAGACTTTTCACGAATCAATTCCTGACTGCAAGTAGCATTTACACGGCTTGTTGAACAGCAGACCACTACGGAATCCCACAATCTTACGCTGTACTATTTACATGGGGTTAAATTACATTTTTTATGTTCCTTGACCAATGAAAACCATCTCGCATAAATGGTATTCACGAGGCAAAAACAAACGGATGCAGGTGACAATCATTGACGAAATCCGGCAAAAATAAACGACATGATTTTTTTTTTGCCTTGAAACCTTTTTGCATTGCCTGTTTCGAAAGCAAGGATTCCAGGTCGGCCACAGCCAGTGGTATAACCCATGAACTTTTGGCGCGGAAATAACATTAGCACCCATGCAAACCACATTGTCATGGTCAAAGGAGGACACAACCGTCCATGCATGGCTGCGGAGCATTCATGCTTTAATTCAAGACTCAAGATCAACTTTAGATAATGGCTTACGCCAACCTAGAATGCCTCTTGGAAACCAGAGAGTGGCATGCTGGGATTTCAAGCTAACATAAACAAGAATAACAGCACTACAACGCATTACTCGCAGGAAGTGCACATTGAGCCACGTTCAGGGCCAACACGCCCTACATCAAAGTTGACTAAATCCGTGCGCTGACTTTATCTAGACCTGAAAATGTCAGTGTTTGGCATAAGGCTTTGGACATCATGTGAGGTTAGCGCCAGTTATTCGGAAATATTTCATGACGTTTGTTTTCAAACGTTATCAACGCTTAAGGTAATTTCTCCCGGGTACTGATTGTTTTTAGGCGAACAGTGCGCATCACAATGTTTCAGGATTGCCGTGCACATTAAGGACTGTGATGACCTAATCCGCCTACATGGAACTACTATCGTTTTTGTTTTGCTTTCCACCTGAACAACAAAGTTTTGTGGGTGAACACAATCCACGCCATTACAAACTTAGGTGCTCAGCACCACTACATCCTCACTGATGAAAACGAGCAAGCTGGACTGCTCGATCAAGCTGATTCCTAATCGTGAAATCTGAACCCAGTCTTTGCCTCAAGGACTGCTTGTGCTCTGCCCATGGGGGTAAACAAAATGACGCAGCAGCTATTCATATTTCCTAAAGATGTAAATTCTACCTCAATGAGTCAAAATTTAGGTTAGACGTCGGATTGACGGACGCGAAGCTCCGCGTGGGATTCTCCCTGCAACCCTCGTTTGAGTTAGAGGTAAATGACAGCGGCATGCCTCACTCACCACTCTCAATGTCATTCACATCGCAAGAATGTGCGACCGCAAAGTCCGTGTCAATGCACAATTAGCCAGCACGTTCGGCTAAAGGTCAATATTACCACTGTTCGTCATTGACTCACTGAGTGGCTTTGATGGTCCAGCGTTGTTTGTTGTTCCCGTACCGCAGTCGGTTGCGCAGCACGATGCGCTTGAATAGGTCGATGTTCTTCATATTCTGGAAGAAGTCGTTTGGGACCACACCAAGCGGTTCGTAATAGCTATCCAGTTCCTGCTCGCTCAAGATCCACTTGGGGAAGCCGAAATGGAAGGTGGTGTTGCTGAGAATGGTGCTCGCTTTGTAACGCACGCTCTCCGTCATCCACGGTTGGAAGCTTAACTTGAAGGCGTCCACCATCGTCTGCGTGAAGTTGGACGTTTGGCGCACCGTGTCCAGCCCGATGTGGTCCTTGACGAACAACATGCCCATCGCTTCGCCCATGTGCTTGTCCAATACGTCGAGGCAGTACTCCTCCCGGGACTGGAGCTTCCGGGAGCGACGGATCACCTGCGGCAGTTGGGCTCGGTCAACGGCTGGTTCGCACGCGCACCCGCCTCGGTCAACGGCTGGGTCGCACGCGCACTCGCCTCGGTCAACGACTGGGTTGCAAGCGCACCCGCCTCGGTCAACGACTGGGTCGCACGCGCACAACAGAGACAAGCTGATCAGAACACAACACAACAGCACAACAGAACCGTGATGATCAGGAGGCACAGAAAGGTCCGACACATTCGCTAAAGATAAAAGTCGCCATACACCGGTGTAGTCAGCCGCCAAAGGCGCTCTAGCTACGAGCCTTTGGGACCACGGTGAATCTAGAACATGGTCTTGATGTCCCGAAACGATTGGCAAGCCCCGTGGACATGGTTCAGGGTCAATGCTTCGAGGCAAAATGCAGCAGACATGTACCTGCAGATAATGGGGCTTTCGATCCATTCAAATGATCAAATTGAGGTTATTATACCTTGATTGAACTGACGAATGGACAGGATTCGTCCGATGCTTTGTATGCCTTGACAATGTCAAGAGATCTCCCGAGGGTGTCTGTAACACGAGCCAACCCTTGGCAATTCCCTTGCAATTTTAATGTCACCGTGCAGAACCGTATTCGAATTTTACAAAGATCATGATATGCTTATAATCGCTCAGGTTTGAAAGCTTAGCTTCGTGCTCTATAGCTTTAGCTTTATCAAGCGGTCATCTGAGGTATAAAGCCGACTCCTAGCGCAAGGACATCCTAGATGTGCGATGATTTCAGCCTCATCTTACGAAAGGCAGCTGGAGAGCCGCCGTTAAACGCATAGTCCGCCTGGCGTCAATTCAATGGTCATTAACACGCGCCCGGATGGCCAGTAGGATACCCTTCACTCGGGTAGGGGTCAATTCGACCCCCCTCTTGAGATCTCGGGAACTAAGAGAGCTAGAGACACCAGATTCACTGGGTGTGTTGATCTGTACGCGAACTCACTTAGGTCAAAGTTTGAGGTTCCTAGGTTATGACCTTTGGATTAAGTCCGTCCCGGTGGCTCAGTTGGTTAGAGCGCCTGCCTTCCGATCCACCCACCCGTGGCAGGGTGGGTTGGAGTCGCTTTAGGGCGCTCGCTATTTGCCCTTGGCAGGTATGGCCTGCGGCCGGTAGCAGCGGTCGCGCTAAACGTCAGTTGACATCAGAGGGCAGGACGGACCGTGCCGAGCATTGCGGCACCTCAAGCTTTCGCCACTAAATTCTGCCGTTGCCTGGAATTGCACGATCGGATGGTGGGGGTCAGGGCTCACGCAAAAAGCACTGCTTTGCGTGAGCGCTGATGCCAAAATCCATCCATTCAAAGGGTTTGGATCAAATTTTTAAAAAAAATATAAGAAGGTAAAACAACGACAAGTTCCAGGTTGACTTCCAACGGGCTACCAGAATCTAGATAACTGTTCTAAGCAAAAGGTCACATGCTCATTTAAGGCCAGGGACCTTGTTTGACCTTTTGCAGATCACGGTGACCAAAATCATACAAGACTGTTTTGGGTTTTGCGTTTGCATAAGCGACAAAGGTTACGCTAGGCAGTATGCTCCTTAAAAATGTTGAGCTAGGTCCTTATAGGTCAGTGACCTATTCTGACCTTTAAGAAGTCCATAGAAGGTGTATAATGCGGTTCCTGTTGTCACTAAATTCGAAATGAGCGCCAGGAACTACCCCATACAACAGGCGCTAGAGTAATAAAACATGTTGGTTTTGACCTTGGTTTAACCTTCATATCTGACCTTAGTCAATGTAATTTGTCCATTCCATTGTTGTGTTGCCTAAGAAAATATTTCAGAGATGTATGGCTTTGTCTAACACTTCGTTGTTGGACCAGGTTGAAGCATTCCCTAGAAATTACCTTCATTGAAACCACAGCCTGACTTTGACCTACCATAGATCAGGGATCTTACAAGGTACATCTAATTTTTTTATGCCAGACGATCCGCGATTCCATTGTCTACAGCTGTGAAAAATTGGGTGCGGCTACGCCGCGCTGTTCGGAAACCATTCAGGGAAAACCTTCTGGGGAGGGAGGGGTCAATTTGACCCCCACTCGAGCGCGTGTTAAAAATGTAAAACTGTGTCTGTTGGCACAACAGGCACCATGCCAAAGTCAACCAGCCCTGCGCTCGCAGCAGGCTCGGCAACGGCAGGTGTTTACGTCACCGCAGCTGCGTATGATTCATCCCAACAGGGATAACGGATGTCAAACGTGACGTGGCGAAAGCCTGGCATTTTGCTATTCACGAATCACTGAGCGCTGCAGCAAATGGCACGGCCGCTCGGTGGCCCGGTGGCGGAACCGTGGTCGACAGGTCCTGTTCTCGGTAGCGCGGGGCGGTGTTAGCCGAGCGAAGCGGGGTGCTTAGCTGTCGCCCTGTTTGACGACAGAGGCGGAACGCTGCGGATACTGAAGCCGAGGAACGCTTATCGTTAGAAACCATCACCAATTAGCACTAGTTAGTCGAGTCCATTAGGGTTGAGCCGGCTGGTACTGTGACGACTTTACATTAGACACTGGTCAAGTATTTCGAATCCCAGCACGAGTTGCATGTGGCCATTGACGGAATTAATGTAGACAGATGTTCGGACTGCAAGTTACCATTGCGAGTGGTCGCAAAAACTGAATGTATTGAACAAAATCATCGAAAATTAAGGCTGCGTGTGCTGTTTGATTTCCGCTTATCTCACAGCGGTTGGTATAAAGTTCTGCGGGAAAGCGTATTATCGCGGCACACACAGTACAAACGTGATATCCGATTACGTACTTGTCCCAAATGCTATTTAGGTGCGAATGTGCTTTTATTGCCCTATTTTCATGCTGTATTCCATCTCCGTACCTTTGTCAACACTTACTCTCACCAGATTAGACGGGTTATACACTGCTAACAGTCTTGTTCCGCCGGTCAATAACGATTGAGAAGCCAATGTCATCACTGTAATGTGAGACAGCGTAACCTATGTGCGAGTGTGCGGGGATTTACTAACCTCATCTAGCCTCAGCTTTTGAAACGCGTAATCGACGCTCATGCCCATGAGGTGTCGGCGCACCACACACCATACCAGGTAATGGTGCAGCGCTCTGAAACAGACCGGTTCGCAGCACGCATGGAGATAACAGCCGTTTCAGTTAGGAAGAGTCAGAGGCATGATTGTGAGCCGTCATATATTAGCACGCAATGCTGACTCTTGTCGAATAATTCCTTCCACCACTAGAATGCGGTGACGAATACTCGATCTCAACGTATGTGCACATTTCAGCATGCATTTGGTATGCAAAACTCATTACAATACACGCGCCGCAAAACGTCCCTAATTTGGCACCGCAAAAACACTTGCCTTTGCTGCAAGACAAGGGGTGATAAGTTAAACCGAGCGGGCACATAGAAACATTTATGGCGTTTCCTTACTTTAAAAGGCATACGCCAAAATGCCTTCATGCCTTTGTTAAGGCATATGCCTTTTAAAGTAAGGACATGCCTGTGCCTTATGCCTTTATGCCATAAAACCACACCTCCCTCACTCTAGCCTCTCTGCGCGCATATGCCAAGTCATCGGATCACTTGTAGGGCAAGGTCATGCAATTTAACACAGACATGGTGGGCCCAGTGTTTCAAAGCACACACAAATCTCGGACGGTTCGGTTAGACTGGCCTGCCCACGCCCCATGCCTCACCGTTTAGACTCGCCGTCGATAAGTGAGCCAAGATTGTCCATGAAGTGGTAGCGCGGTATCTCCACCACGGTGGATGGCGACACTATGCCTTCGCCCATCAGATCTTCAAACAGTCCCATCCAGTCAACCTGACGCAGAAGAACGACAGTCTTGATTTTGATCAGGTTTGGGGAAATTAAACCAGTGGCACATGCCATGCAATCAAGCTTTCAGCCATGCTGACATTAGCAGCACGTCTTTTTTGTAGCCCAAAACGTCATGTTGTGATATCATAAACGAGCATCAATGAACACATGGGAAGCTCAATATCCTCTCCAAACATCATTGCAATGGCGTAGGAGTGTAATATCTGATCTCCGCTCGTTTCTGACCTCGCGCCCGCCAGACCAGTGTCTGGACAGCTCGACCCGACCCGACCCGACCCGACACCGACTGCAGAGAGGCCGGGATTTCGGCCGCTTGGCGACGCATTCCGCGCCCAGTAACACCGTAGACGATCATGCTCATTGTGGTGAAGCACTAAAGCAAGAAGGAAGCCGAGGGTCGTAAGAATCGAGCCCACCACTTCACGGTTACAGTTCTAGCAGCCAGCCGTGCCGAGCTGGGAGGCCTCTGGCGGTGAGCGGCACGCGGCGCGTCCCCGACCTGCGGAGTGCGCCGCTCCAGCTCGCTCAGTGTGAGTCGGAAGACGGGCGGCCGCAGCCGCAGCAGTCGCAAACCGACGCTCTGCCGGCGCGAGCGGCGCCGGCCGCGGTACAGAATCGCGCCGGGGTACCGGGTCGATATCTGAAACAGGCCGGGGGGCGTCCGGCTGCGGGTCCGCGGGCGACGACCGGCCAGACGAGCAACAGGCACTGGTGACCGAGAGAGGCGCCGGGGGGCGAGACAATGGAGCGCTTCAGTCACAGGCTGGCTTTGTTCACCAGTGAAGCTGGAATGAACTTATGTTTAAAAGTCGTGCCCTTCCTCACAATCTAAGCCGCCCTAATTGCGGAACTACACTCTCTCAAAGGTGTAGTGCAGACTTTTTCGGGGAGACTATTCCAAGGTTACCCAGGCATCCATGACGCCATAATAACATCATTCACATGCTGCCATTCCACTGGCCATGCGGCGATCAAGACCAGGAAAAAAAGATTGTCGAGTCGTTCATACTTCATGCTCGTGAGCATGGTTTCCAGCCATAACGTTAATGTTATCTTAATGTTATCAGCGTTCCACGCTAATGTTATCAGCCATCTCGATCAATGTTATGCAAGGAACGACGATGTGATGAAACAATGACGCATTGGGAAGCGTAGTTACTGAACAGACCAATTGTCCTGTTTAGAGCAGCCATATCCACTTACAAACATACCAATAGTTATAAAAAATCCTATTTCATCACATTTGCTATTTGCTTTGATATTCTCAGATGCGGAACGTTTTGTCTAAAATGACAACGTAATTCGAGGGCCTTCTATACCATGTCAACGGGGGCAATCATCCTGGGTGGGTGGGGGTCAATATGGCCTCCTGAAGGTTTGTGCAACACAATTTTGGAGAGGTACGGCGAAGCTGCGCTTAACTGTACAAATCTGTTGGAAATTAAAGAGCAGATCTTTTGGTATGCAATTGATACATCTCTTAAGGTACTGACCTACGAAAGGCCAAATCCAGGCTGTGGCTGACGATGAAGGTAATTTTAGACAATTATTCAATCTGATGAGCCAACGGAATGTTGAACTAAGTCATATATCTCTGAGACAGTTCCTTGGGCATTATAGCAATCGAAGTTAGGATTAAACAAATTGCATTGACCTAGAGTTAAGTATGAAGGTCAGACTAAAGTCTAAACCAACCTGTTATTTTACTCGAGAGCTTGCTGTATAGGATAGTTTCTGGTGCTTATTTCAAATTTATTAGCAGTAGGGACAACAACATACACAGTTTAACACAGTTCCATATCATCTAGAAATTTGGTGTCCCCTAGCCTAGACCACAAGGAACGCGAATGTTCTACATTTGAAGATTTTGAAGCATTCAGATATGATGAAGTAAGGTCACTCATAATTTCCGTTCTCCTTTCAAGTGTAAAAGACTGCCAAGACGACAAAATTTCACTGTTTAGTAACATGTTCCTCAATACGTCATCGTTTGATTGCGTCATGGTACGTCTTTACGACGTCAGAGTCACTGCCAGACTGAATGTGTCAAAACTGCCACCACAGCAGACGGGCCGCCCCACCTGCAGTACTTCAACTTGCCGAGAGATGGGGATGTGCTGCTGGAACATGTTTGCTAAACCGAATATTGTGACATGCTCATGTTTTTGCCCTTTCTCGTGATGTTCTTGTGTATTTGACCACGATTTTGTCTTGTTTGATGGTATTCATGTGTTTTGTTATGGTGCCTTTGTTAAGATATTCGATCCTTAGTCTTATTTCGTTCATAACTCGTGCCACTACCCAAATGTCCGTATTGTGTAGCACAAAACTCGATCCGCATTCGAAATTTACAGTCAGCGCATTGCATTGGTCTGTTAGGTACACTAAATCGGTTCGTCCAGATTGCTCAGTTGGTTATAAGACCTGCCGTCCAACTCACCCGCCTGCGGCAGGTTGGGTTGGAGCCACTCTATTTGCCCTTGACGGGCGTGCGTACGGCCGGTGGCAGCGGCCGTGCCAAAGGTCGGCTGACGTAAGAGGGTAGGACGGACCGTGCCGAGCATTGTGGCACGTTCAACTCTTGCCGCCAAATTCTGCCGTTGAACTGGAGTTGCGCTATCGGATGGTAGAGGCCGGGGCTAATACAACAAGCAATGCGTAGCGTGATTTCTGATTGCATAATACATCTATTCAGAAGGTTCGGATTAAGTCTTTACAACATAAGAATTCGTTAACAGCCAACTGATGCCCGTTGATGTAAAAAATCGTGTTGACATACGCCAGATACCAATAATTCCATGATTATACTTTTCTCGACCTTGAGTGCTGCGTGGCCAGTGAGACGGTGATATTCGCGCTGCGTTTTTATGGCGCCATGCATGTCTGGGTAACCTTGAAATAGTCTGTTCGAGTTAGCCTGCACAATTTCGTGGGTATCAAACTCAGAATAATATGGCTTTAAATCGTTGCAAGGACATGGCTGTGAAATGCATTGCACGATCCTAGACATGACCACCTAAGTTTAAAACCCCAGAAAAATGTAGAACAAGCCCTTTCAAGGAGGCCATGTGTTAATATCTCAGGGTTAGTGATAATACATCAGGGATGGTATCTACGTCAGGGTTAGATTCTCGTGAAGTAATTCTCGGGTGGCGATGAGTAGAACGAAATGGCTCAATCTACCTCCAAAGTATGTCAGAAGACATTTTATACCGAACTTGACTAGCTTTGTTCCCGCCGTGGGGGGCTGCCCGCCCAACTGAACAGGAAACGCACGCCCGAGGTATGCTAAATGCCATCCGAAGGCATTTGTTTTTCCCACACAACACTTGTGGTATGATGAGGCCCAGGCGTGAGCACAGACGACGCTCACATTGGCGAGCTTGGTCTCGACGTTCATGACGTCGTCGACGAAGTTCTGCAGACAGTGGTGGTCACAGGTCCTGTTGAGCGCAGTTACGTTGACGCCCGAGTCTCGCACCAGCATCGCCATGACGGTGGCCATGGTGGTCTGGTAGGCGGTGATCATCTGGCAAGCAGCGGCCGTTCAGTTGCGGAGCAGCGAGGACGGCTCACCAGCGCCGGCACCGCGAGGACGGCTCGCTAGCGCCGGCACCGTGAGGACGGCTCGCTAGCGCCGGCACTGCGAGGACAAATCGCCAGCGCCGGCACTGCGAGGACGGCTCACCAGCGCCGGCACTGTGAGGACGGCTCACCAGCGCCGGCACTGCGAGGACGGCTCACCAGCGCCGGCACTGCGAGGACGGCTCACCAGCGCCGGCACCGCGAGGACGGCTCACCGGCGCCGGCACCGCGAGGACGGCTCACCGGCGCCGGCACCGCGAGGACGGCTCGCTAGCGCCGGCACCGTGAGGACGGCTCGCTAGCGCCGGCACCGCGAGGACAGATCGCCAGCGCCGGCACCGCGAGGACAGATCGCCAGCGCCGGCACCGCGAGGACAGATCGCCAGCGCCGGCACCGCGAGGACGGCTCGCCAGGGACGGCACTGGGCGGTCGCCCGGCCGATCGCGCCGCGAGGGAATACACCATACACACATCTCAGAGTAATGTGGTGAAAACGTTGCACGCCTAAAAAGGTATAATGATTTGTAAAATATAAACGTTAAGGATAAGATATTCAGCGACCTAATACAACTCAGCTGAAATGTGGATGAATGGGAGTATAAGCCTAAAATAATTTTTAGCCTTGCACAGTTGTCTTTAGAAGGCATGGAGCATATCTAACGTTGCTCTGTTATACATACCCGATTGTACGGTGGTATCGTTGGATTCAGGTAAGCTGATGTGTACGGGATTCCCGTGCCAGATTTGGTGATCTGTAATCAGGTGATCAAACGTCACAGTTTGGAGGTTTGCCTGAGTGATTGAGAGCGTGACCAGGACGCTTGGAATAATGGATATGTCAGGATACGTCATACGTCATGCGTCAATGACGTATGGTCCTGGCCGGTCGCTTTCTCCACATTTATGCTTTCCTTCGCATTTATTTCAATTGCAAAGAGGCCACCGCACTGTTAGGTCGACGTTAATGTCCGTAAAATCCGCGATCTTCGTAATTATTAGTGTCAGAAAGCAGACAGTTTGCGATACTCGTCTACGCAACTTATTGGTTAGCTGACTGGTATATCTGTTTAACATGATATTTGGCAAAAGTTTGCTCTTAAACGCAAAATGGTACAACTGAGCCATACAGTGCGTCCCAGATATGGCCCTCACTGTACCGGCCGATTCTGCAGAAAGAAGCGCTGTGACATCACCGTGCATTTTGTAACGTTGCTTCGTACAAATAATGTCATCTCCAGGCAAATGTCCTTAAAACTGAATTGCTGCCAACATAATCTACTTGCTCCTGCAATCAATTCAGTTCCAATAATAAAAAAAACATGTGCAAGCCCTTTGAAACGGGTGACTCGAGAAACTAAGGTAGCAGGCTAAATGTTAGAACATTTAGCAGTTTTGTCATGTATTTAGTACCCTTTCAGTTTAAGGCAATTTACGGAAGCATAATGATTACGTCTACATTGTGCAGCACGCCACGTGCTCAAGGATGAACAATCCTCATTGGATTGTCGAACACGTGCTCAAACAATACACAATCTTCATAGTGTAGCACAACGTGCGCTCAAACATACACAATCGTGCCACGAACGCACGCGCGCGCATACAAGCTTTTCTATAGATACAGATCTCGCTGTTACTTACTCTGAGCATGTTCTCCGTTGGCCTGCGCGGGTTTCGCACCCAATAGAAGTTCATCATGGCGTCAGTCCAGTGCTCGTCGTGCACCTTCCTGAACGTGGAGTTGAACTGCCAGAGCGTCTCGTCCCAGGTACCGAGCAGGTCCAGGCCTCCGAGAACGTCTGACGGGCGTGGAGTACGGTCAACACGCCGGTGATCACAGCAGGTCCAGACCTCCGAGAACGTCTGACGAGTGTGGGATACGGTCAACACACCGGTGATCACAGCAGGTCCAGACATCTGAGAACGTCTGACGGGTGTTGGGTGCGTCAACAGGCCGGTTATCACAACGACATTCTGAGGGAACCACAGCGACACTCAGTTTTGCTGGAGCTCAGCTGCTTACCTCTGGAAACAGTTGCTGACCAGCCAATCATTACTTGAAGATTGTAATATAGAGCTCCATGCCTAGACAGCCTATCATGTATGTGTATAAAGAGATGGTATTCTTCAAAGTCACTGAAAAGCAAACCACTCTGGTCAGCGTTAACCCTTGTCCTTGTTAACATGGTCACTATTGACCAAGATGGCGAGGTGGCCGACGGTGATCGGCTCACTTATAAGCTTCACCATCCTCTTGCCGGCCTTCTTCATGTTTTCGTAGTCATTGAGGCAGCTGGAATAGAGCGTCTTCAGCTTCCACTGGGTCGAATCCGGGTTGAAAGCCTGTGGCGCGTCCTCCAGCAGCTGCACCACCCTCTTGTCGTTCTTGTCTCGTAGCCAGTCGGTTGTCCTGAACACCTCGCTGCCGGAGGGATCGACCGGCGTCAGGTGACGAAAGCCACCTAACATCGGCGCACGTACAAGCGGTTTTTCACGTGCTAAGAGCCGTATAGGCTCGTGGCGCCGTGCGCGTGCAACCCGGTCGCGTATTCAGAGACACGAGGTATGGCCGCTGCCGGTGAGTCACGCAGGGTGCAGCAGCGGCCGGCTGACAGCACTGGCGCCCCCCTGCCCCCAGGCCCGCCTGACGCGGACACAAGACTGGAGCACACGAGTCACTGCTCCGCTTCACCCGGCAGCAGGAGCAGGTGGTGGGCGTGGTGGCGTTTGCTTTCAGTTGCACCTGGCCCGACAATGAAGAGCCATGTTTGGGTGCGCGAAATTTTGGAGGTAAAATCAAAAGACGTAAGTTGTTAGGCTCATTTGTGAGTAACATTATGCATATAGATAAGACAGTAGTAATAGCCCTATTCCTCGTAGACAAACCGGGAGAATGAAGAGATAGGTGCGTTGATATTTCGGCAACAAGCCTTTATCAAAACATGATTTTATCTACTAATATTCGTTTCCATATAGACATGTTGCCGAAATATGAACGCATCTATATCTCCATTCTCCTGGTTTTCCACGAAGAGTATGGCTATTACTACCGTCCGAAAAAATAATGAAATAGGCCAAAGGTTACGAAGCTACAATTTTGTCAACGCTGCATCCATTCGTCAAGAATTTGCGCACCCTCCGTTGCATATGAAAAGCACCCATTGAGTCAATTGGTCAAGGCGGCATTCTAAATTAATTCACCGTCGCGCGTCACAGCTGTCTACAACCGATCAAGGGGAAGCTCGTCACGCTCAGCTTACTGCTGCATATGTGGAACTGAGGCTGGGCTAAAATGGCTGAATTTTAGGCGACTTGATTTGATGAGTGAGGAAGTGCAACGCGTTCAGTCCACCGAGCAGGACCAGCAGTGCTGCTACCTTGCCGCCAAGGTATTGAACAAGCGCTTCAAAGGCAGCTCACCGAGAATTGCGCCGGTCAGGAAGCACCTCCTTGAAGTTGCCGCAGGCATAGTTGTAGAAGTCATGGCAGGGGTCGGTGGAGAGGTTCATGACGCGGATCATGTCGGCTGCCTGGTACACGCAGTCGGCCTGCTCACACTCGCGCAGCTGGCTGACATGAGGTCGAGCGGTGGGCGGCGGCGGGGGTGCCACTGACGGCGGGTGGCGGCCGCGGGACATATACGCCACCACTGAAGACCGAATTGACGTAAATGACTATGCGATATGCATACAGCTATCAGTGTGAAAGTACGGCCAAACGTAAATTCACTTTTTAGCTATGGCAGTGAGGCAACTGATTTGCTGTAACAGTAAGGTAACAGTAGCAGTCAAGTGAACAGTAACAGTAAACATGAAGGTGGTGGTCTGAGCGGGCTCGAGATTGCGTAAGATGTGCAGCTTTCGTACGGCACGCGACGAACTGACGCGTGTAAAACATCCCATCATGCAGTCATCTCTGGGTCGGCAAGATGACGTGATGGTTTTGTAAGGCCTTGTGGGAACTGGACCGTGCCGGATTTTAATTTGAAGCACGATTATCGCCAGCTGATATCCAAAGTGCTGCAGGCAAGGTTGTTCAAACATGCTGGAAACATCAGCACTGTAAACACAGCCAGAATGATAAGAAAACCATGACTCTCACGGGCTGCTAAACACACACATTAACATGACAGCGCACGATGAGCAGCATTTCACAGTGTGGGATGTTTCGGTTAAAGTTCACAAGGTATTATCCCTGCTCTGGTAGCACGGAAAACTGGCCGGTGTCAAAAAAGTATTTTGAGCTGTCCAAGTCCTTTGGGCAAACATGACAGGAGGTCACCTCGGTCAAAAATACCCAGCACCTCTCAGAATAGTCTCATAAACGGCAATACTTCACTGATACTCGACAGCGGAAGGTGGGCGTGTCCTAACATCTGCGCTACAGCGATCTGCGACGCAGTTTACCCTGGCGTGTCGTTATTCACTAAAGGTACACGCCACAAGAACCATCATGATGAGGCATGAATGCCTCTCTTCATGCGAAAAGCCTGTTTCCCAGCTTTAGGTGGCCTGGCATGGTGATCAACTTGTTTCGTGCATGCCTACTCGCAGAGTGTTGCCGGAAAGTGTAAAACCTTTCGTTTGATGTTTACAAGCGTGCAAAACTGCATGCTTACTAACACGGCAAAATCGCTATACCTGAGGTACAAAATAGACGATGCAGCATGTACTATGCGTATGCTGCTCGTGCTACATCTAAGGTGTCCACCTGGAGACGAAAGCCTCAGTACTTCCTGGCAGGTAAGAACGACAGCAGAACTTCTAAAAAAAAATGGTCCTCAAAGCATCAAAATGGAACCCCGATCCACAGTTGTCTCCGCACTGAACAAAACCAGTTTCCTAAGCAAGTGGCACGCTTTGTCTGCAAGTGGGACTCTTTGTCTGAAACGGCCCCTATGCCCCGTTTTGGCTCTTCCTAAGCGAAATCATGACTAACCACTGATGTGCCCTTACCACTCTCCAAGAGATAAGGGTGTCACCTGACCAGACATATGTGTTGATCTATTTTCGACAAGTTCAGTAAGCACGGTCACATCATGCACGTGACGTTGAGGAAAAAGCGCAGCATTTTGGTAACTCCAAACAATGGGCAATGTTCTTTCAACGTCTTCACCAAACTCTTCACTCTTTGCTTCGCTTGGAGCCAACAGAGCAAGTCTAGACATCACACGCACACACTGTTCTGAGCAAGTCTAGTCGTTTCCCAACGTTACGGGTGCGATGATATCCGGACCTTGCGGCCGCGCCTCCTTTATACTGTCCCAATCACCGTCACCGGGAGCCCTGCTTACCCATAACGACGAAGAGCATGAGCCCAAGCGCAGCGAGGGCCTGCCAGAGCCGGCTCTTGTGCAACCGCCATCCGCGCACGTACAGCACATCGCTGGGCCCAGCGCCATCCACCAGGCCCGCCTTGTCGGCTGTCGTCGTCGTCAGCGGCGGCGGAGGCGGCGGCGGCGGCGCCACCGTCTGCGTCACGTCGGGCGAGCTGTCGGCCACCTCGCCGCTCTGGGTCAGCGCGAAGGTCGGGTTCTCGATGCGCATGGCGGTGCCGGCAGGCGCGGCGGCGGCCGGTGACTGGCAGAGCGGAGCGGCACGTCCCGCCGCCCGCTGCGCGGCGAGCGCCACCCGGCCCCGGCACGTCCCCCGCCCGTCACGTCAAAGGTCACAAGGTCGCGCCGTCAGCGCGGTGAGCAGGTGAGTCGGCCGCGCCGGCGGCAGCCCAGGCGCGTGGTGTCAGTCGTCTGCACAAGGATCACTGCGGGGTCGGACGCCGTGCTCTTGCTGCCGATACTGGTGGCCTGGCCCTCCGCCGACACTGGGGCGAGTCTCCGGTCCTCCGACGGTCCTCCTATAGTATCGGCTGCTGACGTGCGCACTCAATCGTGCCGACTCGCCGTGCGCGCCTGCCGAGTCCGGTGTGGTGACCAGACTCCGGGGCTGCTGCCCTGTCGCTTCCCGACCCCTGCTGTCGCCTGTCGACGCCTGCCGATCCGTCGCCTCTCGACCTGACACTGCGACCCCGTCCGGAGGCGCACCCGCAGCGCTCGCGCGACCGTCCAGCCGAGCCGTCCAGCCGTGCCTGGCGTGCGACGACCGGCACGTGTAGTCGTGACGCGTCACGTTTTGTGACGCAAACAGCGGTGCCGTCCGTCATTTCCGGCTGGCGCCGCAAACAGCGCGCTATGCCGTGGTAGTGCCGGCCGACCGGTATCCGGCGCGGCAGGTGATGAGCGCGACCGGGCGGTGCCAGCGCACCGGCGGTCCTGATTGTAGCCCGGCACGCCCCATCCCCCCTCCCCATCCCCACGCCCGCCTGGTGCCCTCATCTCCGCCGGAACGCAACAATGGCCCACCGGGAAAACCGAATGGCAAAACGCTCCGCAGACTCAATGGGAGCCGGGCCGGATCCGGAGCGGGTTCAATCGGGCGTTCTCGCCGCCGGGTGTGTTGTCATGGCCACTGCTGGGAGCTATAGGAACGACCTCACGAGCGGGGTCACGTAGAGGTCCGAGGTGGATCCATCTGGCCTCAGGGCACAGGGAGTTAACAGAAGCCGTCCAATGCCAAGTGCATTCTCGGCGTACAAGAAACGTGGATCGTTGAATGAACTAGCTAAATAAGACACCATTAGATAGCTAGACATCAAAGAGAACTAGCTTAAAACCATATCACATCGATGCCGATTTAAAATACATGCTTAACCTAGAAAACATTTTGACAACAGTGCGAACGAATACCACACACACACGATACACACGATAACTTCTCCACGATTTGTGCCTTGCGATACCAAAAACAACGAGCCAACGAGCTAAAAGCTAGCGAGCTAAAAGCTAACGAGCTAACGGGCTAACGAGCTGATACAGCAAAGCCAACGAGCTAAACACAGTTTTTGTTTTCCGTGGCAGAAAATACTTAGAACGCTATTTGGATGCTAAACTTCCCGCAAGTTTCAGACAGCGTATTGAACACCTTTACGCGTATCTTTGCCCTATCTGTCCGCATTGTTACGCTTTGATGAACGGGAACTACGTCGGGTGGACCAATGATACACTAACACATAAATATAGCCATATTCACGTAAAGAACAAACACCACCATCAGGCCGTGGGCACACTGCGGTCGGAGAGACTCCGCGGACAGGAGGCGGAATGTGCAGCGAAAATGCATCTTGTGAAGCGTCCGTTGCTCTGTATTTTGGAGCGCCACTGAACTGTTTTGGAAAGGATTGCAGCATTCTGTACCGTTCATCCCATGGCGCAGTGTCGCAAAATCAGTTGTGGAGTCTCAGTTCAGGGTCGAACGTTCTGAATTCGGTTTTGCCGAAATACGATTTTCCCCGGATTTCGTCCGTTCGTTCCCATTTTGAGAAAACCGAACATTTTTCGCAAATTTCCATATCATTGGTTTCCTTCTTTGTTTCAATGCCATGAGGGGTTAAGGCCGGGCAAAATATTGAATTAACCAGCGATTCCCATCTATGATAATTAACGTTCCGTCAACGAAAACTCATCTAAGTCGTGATGCACTGTTTGACATAAGTTATTTAGAAACTCGTATTTCCCGTAGTTTAGCACGATAATGATGTCTCGGGCTGGGAGAGCTGAACTCAAAAATGGCGAGGTCGCTGGGGGCTGAGCGAGGGCAGGCCTCTCCATCTGAGCGCGTTCGTAGCTTTTGCCAACAGCGCTGGGCGTCCCCTTCAGACAGGATCAGCGCGTCGCCACTCAGTGGCGTGCGGGGAGTTTCAGTAGATCAGCGTCAGCTGTCCGGATTTACCCGATGGGGTAGCCTTCAACGGCGCGTTGAAGGGATTCCAGGAGAATGCCGGCCCCCGCTTATCAAATTATTAGACGCATTGATGTGCATATGAACTGATGTCAGTCATCAGCAAGAAGAAATGCACACGCATAGCTACAGGAATTAAATATTGGACAATGATATATTGGACAGTGATACCCAACAGAAGCAATTTCATTTGCCTACAGCAAACTCAAACTGTTTTCCAACGTAATGCTTGATCTGTTCCCCTATTGCGGCATCCTGAACAAGCCCCTGTTAGCCCTGTTGATGAGGCATTGTCGCGCGGTACGCGAGGGTTCTGGCTTCAATCGCCGGACTTGCCTGTTACCTGTTATCCTACCTGTTACTTGTTACCCTGCCTGTTACCTGTTACCCTGCCTGTTACCTGTTACCCTGCCTGTTACCTGTTACCTTGCATGTTACCTTTTACCCTGCCTGTTCCCTATTACCTGTTACTCTGCCTGTTACCTGTTACCTAGCCTGTTACCTGCTACCCTACCTGTTTCCTGTTACCTAGCCTGTTACCTGTTACCTTGCCTGTTACCTGCTATTTTGCCTGTTACCTGTTACTCTGTCTGTCACCTGTTACCCTGCCTGCAACCCGGTACCTTGCCTGGTGCCTGTTACTCTGCCTGTTACCTGTTACCTTGTCTGTTACCTGTTACTCTGCCCGTTACCTGTTACTCTGCCTGTAACCTGTTACCCTGCCTGTTACCTGTTACCCTGCCTGTTACCTGTTACCCTGGCGCCCCAACCAGCAGCCGGCATTCGACCTCAGCACAGCGCCCCATGCTTCAGCTGGCTCAGGGATTAAGTTGAGCTGTGACGCGAATTTCTCGTCAAGCAAGGGGGGCCAACATTTAAGGCAAAACACCAAGAGACTGTTTTGAATGTCATGCTCCTTATACCTCAGGTCATCAGCGCTATCCTGGTTTTCTGGAATGGAACCTATGACATGCGTCGGGGTCTCGGTTCTGCAATTTTCGATTTCAAGATCGAGCATTTTTCTAGAATTTTCGAGGGTTGACATGAACCGCCAGATTCCCATTCAGTTATACGCATGACGGACGTGGCGTTGCCACACAAATTTCTGAATGATTTGTGGATTAAGGAAAAATCATGTCACGGGTAAATCGCAATAACCCGCACATAATGTCAGCGATTTTTAAGCTACTAGTCAAATCTAACGCCCCGAGGATATCGACCGGAGGGATAAACTGAAATACAATGCCCCTAAGGCTCAGACATCTCCTGATTTGCATACGCCGTTCATTTCTATTCGTTGGTTCTTTCTCAAGATGCGTGGTCCGCATAGTAAGGTGTCCATTCGGGGTGGTGGCGTTATTATGCTTTGTATCTCGATGTTTATGCCGTGAATATTAAACTTGGGGCCTATGCAAACCAGGTATGCACCACCTGTGTACCACGACTGCTTCGCGGTAGACGATGGTGTCCATACAACGCAGTGAGATGAAGCTCCAGGAGGAATCACATAACTAACCGTTTTGTTCCTTTGGCATGCAGTAAAGGTGGTCAAAAATCTGCTTCCGTTGGTCATAACTTTTTATCTTCTTTTCATTTGTTATGCAAATTAAAATATAAATTTCAACAAGTAGACCAAATTTATTTCTGATTGGGAAAAAACAATCATGTCAAACGCTTCTTGATTAATTGTATGTTTGTGTTAGTTAACATTGTACTGGCTTCACCTGTTGAAGATATGCAAAATTTAAGCTAATAACCACTAATAATCAGTATGCGGTCCCCGGTTCCGACGGGCTAATTGGTAACCACTATTATGTTCGGTTCTGCAGACTTGTACAATATAGCAGAATGCTCGAAATATTTGAAATATTCCGAATAAGAGCATCACGTCAGGCATTCCAACACATCTTCACCGGCGGCCAAACCATCAGAAGCGCCATTCGGCCGGCAGCCCGCGAGTGCGTCCCCTGGCCGGCGACCCGCGAGTACGTCCCCTGGCCGGCGACCCACAAGTACGTTCCCTGGCCGGCGACCCGCGAGTACGTCCCCTGGCCGGCGACCCGCGAATACGTCCCCTGGCCGGCGACCCGCGAGTATGTCCCCGCTGCCGCAGCGTGCCACCCAGCCGGGATCAGAGGCCGGCCGCCAGCGGTGTGAGCGTAGCGTCGCGAGTCGGCCGGAGGTCCTCAGCTGCGAAGCGTCTCGTCCCGCAGCTAGTACACGCTGAAGTCACGCCTGGACGTTTAAGTGAGTACTGCTGCGCGGCATGGTGGCGTCCCACTGTTATTCGGGTGTCAGGAGCACGCAGCTTTGTGTTCTGATTCGAGGCCGCTGAATGGTGGAAATGTGCAACTGGACACTGTAGACGCCTTTCCAGCGATACTTCTGAAGCCTTTGAAACCTTATATGACGCGAGTGTATTTGAAATTTCCGTACACTTCACTAAATACTATGCAAGCAGCTTAATACACAATGGCGTACACGTGTTTCACCGCCTCCATCTAAAATAGCATTCAGGTTGGGATCGCTATTCACTTAGGACACACACATTCACACACACGCGTGACGAGTGCCGCGAGAGGGAACAAAGCCTCATTGCCTCGGAGGGCTCGGATCCGGGCGGGGCGCCAACTCAGGCGGAACCGGAGCCGGCGCGGAGTCGGAGAGGGCATGTGCTCAGGTCAGCACGGGGTCAGGTTTCGTCAATGCGTGCTAACTCAGGAGCAGCCGTTAACGAGCCTTGGGTGGCTAACTCAGGAGCAGCCGTTGGCGGACCTTGGGCGGCTGACTCAGGAGCAGCCGGTGGCGGACCTTGAGCGGGTCGCCCTGGCGTCGCGGTTGGCGCGCAGCAGCGCTTCGATGCTGCGGTGCAGGTGTTCACTGACGCTGGGGCCGCGCCAGGCCGGCACCACTATCGTCACGATGCCGGGCAGGGGCCGGGGCGCCGCTGGGGCGGGACGCTTCCCCGGGCGTCGGGCCCTCTCCGCAGACTGCGGAGGGACGCCGGTGCTGCCGTCCACGGTGTCGCCTCGAGCTCCGCTAGACCTGCAGCCAGGCTTCCTATCTCTGCCAGGCCTCGCGCGGACGTCTGCGGGCTTCCCGGCGGGCTTCCGGTCGTGCATGCAGCTCTGACCAGCGTCCCGATCCCCTGCGGTCCTCCGGCTGACTCTACCGCTCGGTTCGCACTGCCTGATGTCGCCTGCACGCGCTCTGGACTGCATGCTGACCATTCCACCCACAACAGCTTGCTCGCTATCCTTATCTTCTGTTCTCGTCTCTCGATTGGTCGCCCCTGCTCGAATCCCTTTCCTGGTGTTTTGATCTTCCCTCCCGTTTCCCTTGGTAATTCCGTCTCCCGTTGGTTCCGAACTGGTGTTGCCTTCTCTCGTGGATTCTGAACTGGTCTTCCCTTTCGGCATGGACTCATAGCTTTTTTGTCCGTCTCCCGTGGAGTCATAGCTCTCTCTTGCTTTTCTCCTTGTCTCTGGGCAGGCACTCCCGACTTTTCCAGACCGCGGACTGTCCCTGGGTGCTCTCATGGGTTTCTGGCCGACTCTTTCTGCTGCTCTGGGCACGTGGATGGCCTTCCTGTCCCTTTTGGGCTCGGAGCTGGCTCCTCCGCCTTTCCCTATCTTCTGACTGGCTTCTGATGGGCAGCCTCCTCTTGGTTGCCGGTCGATTCGACTCGAAATCGAGACTGATCCGATGTTGGAGAGGGCAAGGGTTGGAGTCAGGTCATCATGGTGACTGGCAGTTAATGCAGGGTCGGTAGTAGTGGTCGCCGAGCCGCTCTGGGTGACAAAGGCGGTTAACTGCGGAATGGTTGGCGGAGAGTTGAAAGTGGACTCCGAGTCGCTCTGGGAGACAACGGTAGTACGTCCTAGGATCGCCTGGAGGACCAAGAAACGGACGAGTGACACCACGCCAGCCTATTACGTCACTAGCGTTGACGTGATGATGTTGATGGGTGATGACGATCCGAATCTATACTGCTTCCTGATTCAACCATATATTTGCCTCTCCAGTAACGTAACCATCAACTCGTCTTTGATGATTACTTGTCATCAAGCCATCAATCAATCACGCAAGAAGTAACGTGACTGCAGTTGTTCTTCGTTGCCATTACGCCGCAGGCATATTTCGATTATGAAATCAATTTGTGGGAAAATCAGTCACTATTCCTTCTTCGGCCTTAACAGACCCTTTCAAGAAACTGATAAGTCCAGCCGAGTATACGAAAACCCACGGCAGCTAGGCTGCTCGGTCCTCTTCCAACTCAGTTGAACTGAACGGAGAGCTGAGACCAGAGTTCATGATTTTTCGGGAACAATAACCAAAAGTTCCATGCTATATCAAGATAAGGTCCAAGACGTTCGTCTCACCTTTACGGCTTCCTCAGTGTCAGTTTTGGAACATAAAAGCATTTCACAAGCTAGCGAAATCCCAAATCGCTTTTGTTTATGTCTTGGACAGTCTTATTGGAAAGAAGCATCGGTTCCGAATGATTGTGGGTAGCTGAGTCATTGGACCGACATACGAGTACATACACACCATAGCTCACAAGTGACGAGCGTACACCATAGGTGAACGACATACGGGACAGGGATGCCACAAAAGGTTGATTCTAGTAGTGCGGAGAGCCTTTATGGCAGCCACGTCTTTGCAAGTGCGCAAAAATGTTAGGGTGAGTTTTTCCGATAAGATGGAATTCGTGGGGTGTTTGGTAAAATGCTGTCACTGAGAGTGGTCTCAAAAGCTTTGTTTTTCTCGTCTCAGAGATGTTCATTCTATCTTGTCCGTATCTGCCGCGTTGTCTCACCAATGTAGGATGATCTTTTATCAGGGGTCCACAATTGGCAAGTTGTATGGTAGGTGGCATTGAGCGTGGTGCACCTTCCCACGACGTCCACCTGGCGGGCGTCAAGAGTGCGGTTGCCAGCGAGGTCAAGGACAGGCCGGACAGATCGGTACCAGTACCAACCAACGTCTGTCCAGTTTTATGCCACAGGAACAGAAAGGCCCAATGGACGTATTTTTGCGTTGGCTGAGTGAGACAACGCGTCAGGTACGAACAAGATAGAATTATTATCTCCGAAACGTGAGAACAAAGCTTCTAAGACTCCGCTCAGTGATGGCGTCCTAAAACAATACCCCACGGTCCTATCTCACCGGGAAGACTCGCCCCAATATTGCTGCTCACTTGCCAAGATATGGCTGCCATAAAGACTGCTGATTCGATGGCCATGCGTCACTGCAAACCGAACCTGAACACATGTGCTTCATCGTGGCCGCTTGTGCCAACATATTTTTCCATTGAGATTGTTCTGGGTGTACAGCACATGCGATGTATAATTTTACGAGTTTGTGATATGTTTTAATGTTTAATCTGGCACTGATTAGGCCCTAAAGGTGAGACGTGTGTCCTGTTTTAGGTCCAATTTCAATAAGGCATGATCTTTTGTTTACTGTTTTTTTGTTATAAATAATCTACTCCAGCTAGCTAGGGTGTCCCCACACAGCGTTATGGATTAAGCACTGATCAAATTATAAACTAACTGATCAAATTAAACTAAAGCTTAATCCATAACTTCGTTATGGATTAAGCTTTAGTTTAACGCGGACAAAACAAGGTTTTCCACAATGTATTCTCAACAGCGGTGCTTAGTCTCGAAACACTATCCACAACCCCCAGGACCGCCAGGCGGTTCCTGCATGCCATTCAGCTGGGGTCGGCTGCTGCCTGACATGCCAAGTCCTATCACAAAGCTAACAAGCTGCTCTCGATCTACGCCAAATCAGCATAGACGACACATCGCCGAAAGCCTCGCGGAGATCATAAAACTACCATGGAGCACGAACTACATTGACCTAGTAAATAAGCTTAAATTTGCTCTCAAACGAAAACTAACCTCCCGCCAGGCTGTAAAAAACATTGGTGACCGATCATAAGGGGGGAAGTGTCACGGACATCATGCCCCAGCTGTGGCACTGTCCAAGCCTTGGGCACGTATAGGACTCGGTGCAATGCTCACTGCGCAAAACTCAGGCTACTCTATCATACCTGCATAAAATTCTCTACATCCAAAGCTACAGTTCAGCTTATGGCGACCACTGGGTGCCAGAGGCCGAGCGCCATCTGTGAGCGGAGCAGGGGTGAGCGGCACCGCTGCTCCCGGAGGCCTGCCGCGGCGCGCCGCTCGGCCGGCCCAGGCGGTCCAACGCCAGGGGGCACTAGCTGCCGAGCCGCAGCCAAGGCGCTCTGGGCGGCGGAGATTAACAAGACAGGCCTCGAACACGACGGCGCGCCAGTGAGCGGCGTAACCGGCCGGCTGCACAGGTGTCGCCACCGGCGCCCGGCCTCGTCGCCGCCGCCCACCGCCAGATGGCCCGGCGGGCGCGTGCCGCCCGGGCGAGGGCGCTGCGCTGCACCCTGGCATGCGGCTGAGGCGGGACGGGTCTGCCGGAAGGTGCGCGTCAGCTGACTACATGGCTGCGGTCTGAGGGACGTGCGCGGGACCAGCGCCCTCTGGTGGACGGCTCACTGTTGCCAGCACGAACGGCCGCTGCCGGGCCAGAATGTTCAGCTTCCCTGGAACGGTGGCAGGACGCTAATCATTGGCTACCACCACGGAATAGGCCGTTTCTAGCCATATGGACACTCAATGGAGCAGTACTCCGGCACAAAAAGAGCTGTTTGGAATTCAGCTCTTTTTACAATGGGGCCATTGTTATTCTATGGTTTGCACTATATGTTTAACTCGGATTGTTTTCAGGGCACTATCATGAGATACCTCTTGATTATAAGCTTTCGCTTTAGCTTAACGTCAAATTTTAAAGTTGAATTTCTCGAGAAGGAAGCATCGTTGATGCAAAACCGGCGATATGGCCAACAGCATTTAGATAGGAGCCCCAGTATGGACATCGGGTGCGCGTTGCATATAGGCATGAACCACGTGACTAGTTCGGATATGCCGAACTGACTTCGATTGCAGCGAAGTCGACGTTCTCCGTCTGTCATCCGACTAGGAGCCCGGGCTGGGAACGGTACCCACCTGATCTTGGCGGGTGCATGGTCTGTCGAGTGCTTCTTGTCGAGGTCGCTGAAGAGCTGATTACTTCAGTTCCCTCCTCTCTAACCGGGTGACTTGGCCATAACTTCGGCAAACTAAAACATGTATTCATATCATGACAACATAAGCGACCAATACGAGATGACAAATACAGCAACATTGCGATGTGAAATATATGCATTTGGCGTTCCGATGATAATGTTTGCATTTGTTATATCCTGATAATAAAAAACATTAATTTAACATAATTTAAAACGCACGCCGAAGTAAGTACAAAGCGTTACCACGCCACTTAAGCACAAAAATGGTAGCAGACGTCATAAGGCTGTGATAATACCACACCAGGTACGCCAATTACCCACCATATAATCAGCCAGTTTGCACCGCCCTCTGGGGGCACGCTGCCCCCAGAGGGCAGTGCAGCGCTGGGCACTTCGACTCGCCTCTTGACCAGCAGCGTCACGCTCGTCGACTCACCGTTTGACCAGCGGCGTCACGCTCATCGTCTCGCCGTTTGACCAGCGGCGTCACGCTCGTCGACTCACCGTTTGACCAGAGACGTCACGCCTTTCGACTCACCGTTTGACCAGCGACGTCACGCCTTTCGACTCACCGTTTGACCAGAGACGTCACGCCTTTCGACTCACCGTTTGACCAGCGACGTCACGCCTTTCGACTCACCGTTTGACCAGCGACGTCACGCCTTTCGACTCACCGTTTGGCCAGCGGCGTCACGCCGCAACGGTCCTGAGCGGCGGCTGGCCGACGCCGGTCGGCCACGGGGCTGAGGTGTCGCAGCAGGCGGCTAAGGTGCGCCACCAGCCGAGGTGAGCCGGCGCACCGGTCGCCGCCCTCCCAGCCGGCGCGGCTAGCGGGAGCCGGCGCTTCCCGCGGCCGAACGGTGACGCCCCGCCGCGGGGCGTCACCGGACGTCGAGTCGGGCGACGGACGCGGCGGCGCCGTGGTGAGGGCTGCCTCGGGTGACTCGCACCGCCGGTAGGCCTCACACGGCTGCCCGCCCGTCGCCACACCGTGTTGAACAGTCGCCTCTGATGTCACTTTTGTCTCCTTCTTTGGACTGTTCTTTGGGGATGTCTCCTCTCTCTTTCCCCGCTGACTGTTGTTTGGCGTTGTCTCCCGTGTCTCTGTCCGTTGGGTGACCTCTCGTGACCCCCCGGCTGCCCCCCGTTGGTCACAGGCGTACCCATCTGCTTGATCCTCCAGCGGAAGGTGGCCTTTGGTCACCGACTGCGCAACATCATCACTGTTGTTCAGCTGGCAGTACGTCTGGCTGCTAGCTAGCCCAGAGCGCTCGCCATCGCCGCGTTTTTCTCGGTGTTCCTCGAGAGCTTCCATGGCCTTCTCAGGCGCCCTTGGCGGTGAAGTCGGAACAGTGTCCTATACATAAAACAGACAGAACGAAGTAAGCAGCATATCCTGATGTTTCTTTCTCACGAGAAAATGAAAGGATTCTAGAAACAAGCTCATTTTCCTCTAGGCATATATCGGTTACGACTAAAAATATAGGTGCGAAATGACAATATATTTGTTAAATCACACCAACCTTCATCGCGCACAATTATATCTTATTTCAAACGACAAACATTCTTGATGCAAGGGCATGCGACGAGCACAACCAGCACCAATACGGATGTTAAGCGTGGAGGCAAGACTCGTGCTCCATCGTGCCGCTCTGCAGTTTTTATCTTACGATGTTGTATAACGCGAGCATTGTTCGTCTCAAATCCACTGGCGAAATTTTTGCCCCGCCCAGATTCTAAGCAGTCTGGACGGGGCAAAAACTTTACGAAACTTTTCACGGTAGTGTGCCAACACCACTCCAGATATCAGCAGCGAACCGGTGGCCTCTGACTCGACACACGGCACAAGGCCGATTACGTGGACGCGGCGATGGCCTCACCTGCATACTTCTCTGTGTGTGACGCTGTGTGCTACGGTCGATCTGACGGTCGATCTGACGGTCAATCTGACGGTCAATCTGACGGTCAATCTGACGGTCTGCCTCCTCAGTGCTCACATCTTCATCCTCCTCCCGCTGCTTGGGTTCCTCTGGGGCTAATTCGTCCGCTTCGTAACGCAAACACTCAGCGCAGATGTCACCGAAGCTGCGAGAGATGACCTCCAGAGCCTGCTCAACACTGGGGTCCGAGGACCTCCTGCTATCGGTGACGACAGTTGTGTCGTCCCTCGCCGCGCCGCCTTCCACCTCCACCGGGCTGCACTTCTGCGCCGTGTTGTGGCCGGTGTCCGCTGCTTCGAAACGACTCCGGTCTTCATAACACTCCGCTCCTGCCGACATCTGCTGTTTTGCTTCACTGTTTGTTCGACATTTCACCTGATTGACGGAATCGGACGTTGTAACATTTGATGTCAGCTTTGTAGCCGCGTTTGACTGCGTCCGAGGTTTGCAATGCATGGCGCCTCGTTCACGCGCCTGCAGCGGGGCGAGAGGTGCGTCCTCGCTGATGGGCGACAGAACGTCTGAGCCAGACACGAAGCCGTCCATCTCTTCAGTAATCTCCTCGATGTCAGAGAGAGGCAGTGTCTTCTCCGTCCTAGGCCAGGCGGTGTCGGCAATATCCGGCGCCAGGTCGGGCGCCACCTCGTCTTCCAGCTCGGGCAGCGCGCCCAGCAGCGAGCTCTGGCTGTCGCCGCTGGACGGCGCCAGTGTGGCGTCGTCCAGCCCCGAGCGCGAGTCGAGCTCCGATGCCGACGCCGAGGTGGCCAGCGAGCCCGACGACATGAAGTTGTGCTTGCTGGATGGCGTGGCTGGCGACGCGTCTTCGGGCGGATCCCGCAGTGGCGGCCCGCCCGCCTCCCACAGCGCTGCCAGATCGCGGACGCGCGGCGCGGCGGCGTCCAGTGGGGCTCGTGCCGCCTCACCGGCCCGCGCCGGCTCACCCTCGGCTGCCCTCTCGAACGCGGCCCTCTTCTTGGCTACCAGCTGGCCGTAGGGCCGCCGGCTGCGCTGGCACGGCACGAAGCCTTGCCTCACGTCCCAGGTGAGGTTGCAGCTGGTGCCGTAGCGCTGCAGCAGCGCCGGCGAGCCGGCAGACGCGACGGCGGCGGCGGCGTCGTCCCGGCGGAAGGTGGGCAGCACCTCTTCGCTCTTGCAAGTCAACAGCTCGTCGGCGGGGCACAGCTGTCTGTCCGACTGGTCCAGAGAGCTCGGAATGGAGCCCGTCTTCCTGGCCAGGCTGGAAAAGCTGCTGGACACCGCCGACGACAGCATCTTCTTCGTGTGCTTTTCGAGAAGCTCGTCGCTGCGCGACATGTAGGCCGAGTCTTCCAGTTCGTTTAGGTCGTCGTGGTGGCCATCAAATACGAGCATCGTGTCACTTCCGGTATCGCGTCCGTCTTCCGCACCGGTAAGACAGCATGAGTCAGATGTCATTGAGCTCAACGTAGCTTCCAAATGAGGAGGCAGTGGCATTGCCACTGCATGTACCGAGAGAACGTGCACTGATCTGTTCTCTGGGTTCTCTGGTCCTCTGTTCTCTGCAAATCCACTGCACCGTCTACCGGAGCTATCAGACCCTCTACTCCCACTCATGCATACTTCACCATGCCTATCCTTCCCACACGGCAGCTGCTCTGCACTATTCTGGACGCTACCGACGAGCACATCACACGTTTCAACAGCAGCATCAGAGCCCGCCGGCGGTTCAGCGGATGCAGTTGCCGACTCCGGATGTGACATTAGACCGGAAGAGGTTGTGCCAGCAATCCCGACGGTCTTGCCGCCCTCGGCAGAGTCGTCGGTCGAACAGATCTTGTAGAAATAAGGTACACTATCGCCTGCCATCTCACAGGACATTGTAAGTGACAGCTCTTCCACCGCCGAATCCACAGAGGCGTTGAACTCGTCTTTGAACGGGGCACCCCCAGCCCCGTCGTCGAAAGCTTGCACGGGTTTCACTGGCATTCTATCAAAATGTATGAAATCAGCTGGCCTTGCTGGCACTTCGACGTTGCCACGGCTACTTGGCTTGGCTCCGGAGATTCCCGTCATTGGAACAGAGCGCGCGTCGCCGTGCGGTACTCCAGCATCGGGCGTCCAGCTGTGCGGAGACGGATGCGTCGGTGACGCCGGGGACTCCTGCGGTCCCGAGCGCAGAGTACGGCTCCTGGCGAGAGCGACTCCTGGTGTCGACTCCTGATGGCAAGAGGCCGGCTGGCCCGCCCGGTCAGGCGTCGGTGACGAGTTCTCCTGACCCAGCCGCGTACACGGCGGCAGACGCTGGCTCGGCCCCGTCGGCGAAAGGTCATCCTCGTCGGCGAACTTCATGGACGGGCTCGGATGGAGACCGCACCGTCCTCCCCTGGCCGTCGTGACCTCCGGCACCTCCGCGGCCTCGGTGACGGAGGGGCGGCGGACGGGCGCGCCCACCAGCTCCGGGTAATCCTCCTCGATCCTGCCGTCCAGGTAGGGGTTGTACTGCGGCCGACGGCGCGGCGGCGGCGGCGGAGCGCGGCGGTACCGCATGACCCTGACGCAGCCATACGAGACGCGCTTGTGCGTCGCGCCCGCAGGCGCCGGCGGAGGCGACGCAGCGTCCGAGCTGCTCTCGTCCAGGTCGAACGTCTCGTACACGCCGTCGGCGCTGTTGGTCGACTGCACGTCAAACAACACCTTCTGGCGCTTCTTGACGAAGTCGGCGATCGTCATGTCGCTCTCGCGCTCGAAGACAGGCGTCACGCGGTCGCGCTCGCCTGGCGGCACGCTCAGGCTGTCCAGGTACTGCGAACACTTGACGGCCGGACTGACCCGCTTCAGCTTGAGAGGCCGCGGCCGTGCCGGCAGCCCGAACAGCCGGGTGCGCAACGTGTCGGGCCGCAGCCGCTTCTGCGGCCGGTGTGCGCTCTCCCCGCTCTCTGAGCCGCCGCCGAGCCGGGAGACGTCCGCCGGAGGCGAGTTGCTGCGCCGGCGGCTTCGATCCGCCAGCTCCGCCCCGCCTGACGGCGGCTTCAGGTCCTCGAACTGAAATCGGAGAGGTGTCGCATCAGCCTGCCAGTGGAGCGCTGCGTCAGCTTGCCAGTGGAGCGCTGCGTCAGCCTGCGAGTGGAGCGTTGCGCCAGCCTGTCAGGGGAGTGCTGCGCCAGCCTGTCAGGGGAGTGCTGCGCCAGCCTGCCAGTGGAGCGCTGCGCCGGCCTGCCAGTGGATCGCTGCGCCAGCCTGTCAGGGGAGTGCTGCGCCGGCCTGCCAGTGGAGCGCTGCGTCAGCCTGCGAGTGGAGCGTTGCGCCAGCCTGTCAGGGGAGTGCTGCGCCAGCCTGTTAGGGGAGTGCTGCGCCAGCCTGTCAGGGGAGTGCTGCGTCAGCCTGCCAGTGGAGCGCTGCGTCAGCCTGCCAGTGGATCGCTGCGCCAGCCTGCCAGTGGAGCGCTGCGCCGGCCTGCCAGTGGAGCGCTGCGCCAGCCTGCCAGTGGAGCGGTGCGCCAGCCTGCCAGTGGAGCGCTGCGCCGGCCTGTCAGGGGAGTGCTGCGCCGGCCTGCCAGGGGAGTGCTGCGTCAGCCTGCCAGTGGATCGCTGCGTCAGCCTGCCAGTGGAGCGCTGCGTCAGCCTGCCAGGAGAACGGGCCAGTGCAATCCAGTTGAAGCAACGCTGATCAGTATGTCAGCCGCGGGTTTACAGCTCAGTTGTACACAATCGCAAACAATAGCCGGAGACATGCTGTCTTGTGTGTCCTGAAGCAGGTACGCAGCCAAAGTCTTCGACCAACACAAGAGGCTCACTGTCGTTCGACGGCCTATCTCTGTTTCTGTTCACCAAATAAATCCCTGGGCGACTCAAGGCTCCTTGCCGACACAGGATCCCCTGGTAGGTGCTGTGGATCCCTGATAGATATTGGGGCCCTCATTGTCTCTCGACCAGAGCACGGGGCATTCTGACTGACAACTGTAGGCTCTGGTCTCGTCCCTGCTTGCAAAATGAGTCCCAGGCCGATTGCTCGATCATTTTTAATCATTCATGATCTGTTGCTGTTTGCTCCTTATTGCGGATATCTGCAACACAGGTCTTCATATGGATATCCTTATCACGGGGAATTTATGAGCACGCCCGCCTTTACACTAGTCACAACCGTTCCAAACCCATTGTGAATATACATAACAAACGAGTCTTATCGCGCTGTTCTGAGTTAATTACGAGCACGGCGACTGTAATAATCACAGGAGTTGATGGATCGTGTGTTGATACAATATAATATTGGGTACTTTGTGGCTCATCACGTATGCACGTCATGACATCGACCACACCCCAGCTGCCATTAATGCGTTTGACGCCTCAATCCCGTTATTCCATGCCTGCTGGCCTATGCTGGCCACGGAATACGAATTAGCCTAGCCATCTCCAGCCCACGATGCCAGTCAGGT